TACAAGATTTTGCTAAATGGAAATCATATAACAATGCTGGTTCGTGGAGGAGGAGGACCTGAAGTATGAATGGATTTCCTTTGACTTATGCTAGATTCTGTTTTATCTTATAATGACAACAAAATATAATGCTTTTCAGTGTCTGGATTCTGTGAGGCTAAGTTTCCCGTTGAAGGGAAATGCTTTGAAGAGGCACTGTAAATGCCATTTTTAAGTTAATCGTGTTTATCTTGGGCGGGGGGGTGGGGGGGGAGAGGAGAGGACATTGAAGACTAAAATAAAGGTGATTTTGGTTAATTGTCATTTTATTTATTACACTGCAATAGCCATTGGAACAAAGTTTGTAGTTATTTTGTCAATTGCTCTCTTGTCGTTTTACACCTGTTTGCTTCCTTATTTACATGACCACTTGATTCTCAAAAATTGTTCCAAACAAAATGACAAACTTGGATTTTGAACAGGTGCATTTAACCGGAAATGTTCAAGTCAGTTCAAACTGTGATGCTTTGAAATTATGGTTTTTCTACTGAACTCGAGTTCCATTCTATTAAAAACAAACAAGCAAAAATGCACAGGTAATCTGTGCACATTGTAGAAAGGCAGATAAATACAAAGGAAAACATTCATTGTGTTTTGCTGTCTATCCTCTTAGACTTTCTCACTTTATGTTTACGAAAACTTGCTCACCCTGATTACACTCTTTATACATTTTTATTTTTCTTAGACGAAATTCAGAAATATGTAAAGTCAAAAGATATATATTCTCATCTTGCCAACAATACGATTGTCAGCAGTTTTTCATATTTTACATACTCACCACCACTGGCTACGTTCGCTCTTCTCCTCTCTTGTCATTGTGACAGGCAAAACCTGGTATATTTAAATGTTATTAACAGCACTGTGCAGTTTTATTAACCATTCAAGAACAGTAGCATCTGGTAATATCAGGACAGAATTGGGATTTAAAAATGAACAGAACCTGGCCAGTGTTGTTCAGTGGTTGAGTGTTGACCTATGAACCAGGAGGTCACAGTTTGATTCCCAGTCAAGACACATGCCTGGGTTTCAGGCTCAATCCCCAGTAGGAAGCGTGCAGGAGGCATCAATGATTCTCTCTCATCGCTGATGTTTCTATCTCTCCCTCCCTCTCTCTTCCTTTCTGAAATCTATGAAAACATACATTTTTTAAGTGACCTGCTATTCAACATCTTAACAATTTAAAAGAAGTCACTACATATTCTTTTCACAAACGTGTTTGCAGAGCCAATACAGTACTAGCCATTGACCCAGCACACCAAGTGTACTGAAGTAGAAAAGATCAAGAAAAATAGCTACACTAGAAAGACCTCAACACGTTAGAAAACGAATGAAAAGCTTTCTCCCCTTAATCCCCTAAAACAACATCATCCGGATCCACCTGTGGTCCCACATCAACTTCTAGACTATTTGTCAGGAGGGCAAAAATACAATGACACTGGCCAGTGCAGTCCTTGGAGCTTTAGGAAGGGGAGGGGGAGAGGGTCAGTTCTCAGAACAATGGGTGAGCTTCAGTGTCATCCGCAGGATCTTTGGATTCTTTCTTCTTCCGAACTTCTCCAATGTGCTTGTCCTTCTCTCACCAGCGCTCCGTTTCAGCAGCGTTGGTGCCTCTTTGCTGGCTTCCATTTTGTGGGTCTGTTTCCCTTCTGCCATTGTAGTAAAGTTCGTTCTCTTCTTTGCTTTCTGAAGCATTTCTTTCTCCCATTCTCATTGCTCAGCAAGCTGCTTCAAGGCCTCCGCTTCATGGGACTTGCGTCTTACTTCTGCAGCTTCTAATTTCTTCTGAATTTCCTCCCGGGAAAGATCCTCCTTCCTGGGCAGGGAAGGGGGAGTTCTGGGGTGGATTCTTCTGAAGGCTGGCCTGAGGCACGCTTCCCCCGTCCTCTAACCTGGGTATCAGAGGAAGCCAGGTGACTAGAAGACAAGAGCCTGGCCATATATTCTACACAATCCACTGCCCGGTTCGAGCTGCCTGGCCACACTCTCAAATTTTCTTTATTAATTTTGTGTTTTGTGAATTGAGATGCTTGTCTTGTTTCTTACCAATTTGTAAGAATTCTTAATAGGTTACTCTTAGTCGTGTATTTTACAGGTAAATTCCCCAGTTTGTAGTTTGCCTGTTAGAGGTACATTTTTTTACATAAATTTAAAAATATTTTTATGTGACAGGGAAAAAAAGAAAGACTCACAGGTGGAAAGCTGAGTTTTTCCAACCCAGGAGCTACCCCTGATCTATATTGTCCTACTCCCAGGACATATAAAATTATGTGTGCAGCCTGGCCGGAGGGCTCAGTTGGTTGAGCCTCAGTCTGTGTGCAGAAGTGTTGCCGGTTTGATTCCCAGTCAGGACACATATCTGGGTTTCAGGTTCAATCCCTGGTTGAAGGCAACCAATCAATGTTTCTCTCTGACCTCTCTCTCTCTCTCTCTCTCTCTCTCTCTCTCTCTCTCCTCACCCCCCACTCAGGTGAGGATTAAAAAAATAAAAAATGTGTGCCAGAAGATCAACAGAGTGACTGTCCTACTGGCAATGCAATCTGCAAATGTGTTCAGAGCTGGAAACAGGGGGTGAGGGGGAGCGGGGGGGCAGAGGGGGCATGGGAATTGGAAGTTAATGTCATTCAGGAAGAAATTGGAGGGGGAGTTTCTGAGATTAGATTAGGGAAATTTCCATTTTCATCCTTTGACCCTCCAGTTCAGATCAATATAAGAAATGACATGATACTCATTACCTAATGGAGATCAAAGCAAAATATCTACCTTACTAATGGCTGGACAGATGTGCTATAAACCCAAAGGCAGGGCTCCCTGTTAAAGCTGAATGGGAGACCTCGGGACAAAGGCACCTTCTACTCTTGCCCTGTGCCCACCCCCACCTGCCTGAGTCAGAGACTGAACAAGGACAGGGCCAGGGAAGCCACAGGCACGCTGTCACAGGTAAGATCATCTACTCTTCCCCCAGAGGAGAGTAAGCACGGAATGAAAAAGTAAGCTGAAAACTATTCCCTCCAACCCCTGTGGGGAGAGGACATCTAAGAGGAAGATCCCCCAAACAGAGAAGCTTTCTCTTTGCTCAGCACTTTGGATTTCTTTTTTTTTTTTTTTTTTTTTTTTCTATTTTTTTTTTTGTTTTGTTTTTTATTAAATCTTTATTGTTCAGATTATTACATTTGTTCCTCTTTTTTCCCCCCATAACTCCCCTCCTCCCAGTTCCCGCCCCACCCTCCGCCCTCACTCCCCACCCATTGTCCTCATCCATAGGTGCACGATTTTTGTCCAGTCTCTTCCCGCATCTCCCACACCCCTTTCCCCCCCCAAGAATAGTCAGTCCATTCCCTTTCTATGTCCCTGATTCTATTATGATCACCAGATTATTTATTCACTTGATTCTTAGATTCACTTGTTGATAGATGCATGTTTGTTGTTCATAATTTGTATCTTTACCTTTTTCTTCTTCTTCCTCTTCTTAAAGGATACCTTTCAGCATTTCATATAATACTGGTTTGGTGGTGATGAACTCCTTTAGCTTTTTCTTATCCGTGAAGCTCTTTATCTGACCTTCAGTTCTGAATGATAGCTTTGCTGGATAAAGTAATCTTGGTTGTAGGTTCTTGCTATTCATCACTTTGAATATTTCTTGCCATTCCCTTCTGGCCTGCAAAGTTTCTGTTGAGAAATCAGCTGACAGTCGTATGGGTACTCCCTTGTAGGTAACTGAGTTTCTTTCTCTTGCTGCTCTTAAGAGTCTCTCTTTGTCTTTTGCTCTTGGCATTTTAATTATGATGTGTCTTGGTGTGGTCCTCTTTGGATTCCTTTTGTTTGGGGTTCTCCGTGCTTCCTGGAATTGTAAGTCTATTTCTTTCACCAGGTAGGGGAAGTTTTCTGTCATTATTTCTTCAAATAGGTTTTCAATATCTTGCTCTCTCTCATCTTCTGGCACCCCTATAATTCTGATGTTGGTACGTTTGAAGCTGTCCCAGAGGCTCCTTACACTATCTTCGTATTTTCGGATTCTTTTTTCATTTTGCTTTTCCGGTTGGGTGTTTTTAGATTCTTCGCATTTCAAATCTTTGCCTTGATTCTTGCGGTCCTCTGGTCTGCTGTTGGGAGTCTGTATAATATTCGTTATTTCAGTCCGTGTATGTTTAATTTCTAGTTGGTTCTTTATCATAACATCGAGGGTCTCATTAGATTTGTTGAGGATCTCATTAAGTTTATCAGCAGCTTCTAGACAGTTCTTGAGAGACCTTAAAAGTGTGGTTCTGAACTCTATATCCTCCATTGACAGTTTTGTCCTGTTTCTTTGTCTTCGCATTTTTTATGCTTTCTTGGTGCACCCCCTAGTGGTCTTTGTATGCAGTCCTCCTATAGTTAAGCCTTGATTGTTGTAGTTAATACTAGGGGGATTTGACCTCCAGGCCAGCTGGCTGTGAGAATCAGCTGTGTCTGCAGTGGGAAAACTTCTGTCCTCTAGGGAGGTGCTAATCTAGCCTTTGCCTGAGGCTATCTGGCAAATGGCTCTGTGCAGGGCTTGGGCGGGGCGGGTGGGTCACTCGGGCTCGGGATCAACAGGGTGGGCTGGAGAGAGCATTTATGGCGGCTCTCAGTTCCGTCCCTAGGGGCTCTGCCTCACAGAGTCCCAGCAACCGCTGCAAACCTCAGAGAGAAAGCTGCCTTCGAGTTCCGACTGAAGGCAGACAGTCCCGCTTCTCCCGTTTGAGTCTGGGTCCCTAGAGACTTGCCCGGATCTGGAGCTCAGAATCTGAGACTCCCTCCCTCCCGATTGAAAGCACCAACCGCGCCCTCCGCCTCCAGCCCGCTCCGCACGCACTCCGTACCTGAGTATTTCACTTCAGCACTGCGCCTCCTCTGAGTCTGGGTATGATATTCTCTTTCCTCCTAGTTGTAGAATTTCCACTCAGCCAGCCTTCCTGTGGTTCTGGATGATGTCCGTTCCGTCTTTTAGGTGTGTTTTGATTTGGTTGTTCAAGGCAGCAATCTCCGGCGTTAACCTATGCTGCCATCTTGGTTCTCCGCGCTTTGGATTTCAAAGGTTGGCTTCTGATCTGTGACCAACCACAGGTGCAGCTGGAGGGATGGCTGTGAAGAGACCATGTATCAGAGATGTCTCCCACTTTGCAGATATTCAGCCATTTGTGACCTACAAAAGTGGCCATGTCATATGGCCCATTGATTTTTATAGCTCCTACTACGTGGCAGGAGCAAACAAGAAGTATATTTCCAAATAGCAAATGTGCAAATAGGTTTCCAAATGCTTTACACATATTTACTCATTTAATCCTTACAAAAGACCCCAAAAAAATTCAATTCTTATTTTCAGATAAAGAAAATGAAGTAGCAAGTCCTCACCACCAATCTTTGTATATTCTCCTGGAATCAGCGGGGTGATCGGTTTACTGTTGCCCCCCAAGGGCTCTGAATCAGATACAAATAGGATGAAAACTAACTCCAACACTGAAACTCCTAAACACTATTTCTCCTCTCCAATCAGCTCAGTTCAGCTCACCTGCAAGTTACAAAATAAGTACTACCTGGCAGCATAAACTATCAAATCATTCAACACTAGCTGCCCAAAAATGCCCTAAATTTAAACATAAACCCCCTCTTAATGTCAAAAGTAATAAAGATTTCTACCCAGTTTGGCTCAATGGATAGAGCGTCAGCCTTCTGACCAAAGGATCTCAGGTTTAATTCTGGTCAAGAGCACATACCTCTGTTGCAGGCTCCTCACCAGGCCCAGCCCTGGTCAGGGCACGAGCAGGAGGCAATTAATCAATATGTTTCTCTCACATTGATATTTCTCGCTGTCTTTTCATCTCTCTTTCACTCTCTCTAAAAACCAATGGAAAAATATCGGGTCAGGATTAAAAAAAAAAAAAGTAACAAAATTTAAAGACACTTTCTTTTAAATTAGAATGCAAGGAAATAAAAGTCCAAAATTATTCCCTTCCCCAGATATCTAAACTACAGCAAAGGAAATATAGTCAATAGTCTGTCTATATATATAGTAAAAGCCTAAGAGGCCAGCCGACCGATAGCTGTGATGTGCATTGGCCACCAGGGGGCAGATGCTCAACACAGGACCAGAAACCACAGGCATGGAAACATGGAACAAATTGATGAATCTCAGAGGGCAGCGGGGAAGGGAGAGGGCAGGAAGAGGTTAACCAAAGATCTTATATGCATACTAGAGGCCCTGTGCACAGATTCATGCACAGGTGGGGTCCCTCAGCCTGGCCTGCGCCCTCTTGCAATCCGGGACCCCATGGGAAATGTCACACTGCCAGTTTCAGCCCAATCCCCACAGGCCAGGCCGAGGGACCCCACTGTACATAAATCTGTGCACTGGGCCTCTAGTATTGTCATAATTATGTATTGTATTAAATGGGTACTAGACTTATTGGGATGATCACTTTGTAAGTTACATGAATGCCTAATCACTATGTTATACTAGTACACCTGAAACTAATACAATATTCTATGTCAACTATAATTGAAAAAAATAATTGTAATTCTTCCCCAATTTGTTCTTCTGCTCATTCTTTTTTTAAATATATTTTTATTGAATTTTTTACAGAGAGGAAGGGAGAGGGATATAGAGTTAGAAACATCGATCAGCTGCCTCCTGCACACCCCCGACTGGGGATGTACCCGCAACCATGCCCTTGGCCAAAATCGAACCTGGGACCCTTCAGTCCACAGGCCAATGCTCTATCCACTGAGCCAAACCAGTTAGGACAGTTTCTGCTCATGCTTAACCAGGAGGTTTCACTCCCAAAAACCCTAGTGATGTCTATTTGCATGGGCATCGCTCTTCCTAAAGAATATCCATTCCCACAAGGTCAGTTCCCTACTTCTCCCAACTGGCTGCCAGGCCCTGCTGGCCTCCCCACCTGAAAAAACACTGGCCTGTCAGGAGGGGCTGACAGAGTGTTTCTTCTGTTGATCCAGCTGGTTGGTAGAACAAGGTCTGGATGGGAAGGGGAAGGGAAGGTACACACTCTCTCCCTATAACTTCAGCTTCCCAAGTGTGGGAAGGGGTTAGGTCCCTGGGTCCCCATCCTCTCTCTGGCCTGGGGGAGCCGCATCTCCAGATCTCTGAGGTGGGACAGTAGAGGGAGGGACTGTGGGGAGACCGCCAAGCTCCTGAGGATGAGGAGGGTGGAGAGCCAGGAGCATGGGGTGTGTTCGCTGGGGCAGGAGAGAGGCTATGGTGCCTGCAGGCAGGGGACTCACACAGATAACCTCAGAGCCCGGAAGAAAGGGCCCAAGAGTGTGGAACGTGGGGGTTAGGGGTGAGGTTTCCAGCAGATATGCCTTCCATTGGCACAAACAGGTACCACTACGTGACACCTGCCTCAGTGTGGTGTCAGAGGAGGCAGGTGCAGTGTGTGTTGGGCGTTGAGGGGGAGGCCAGCTGGTTCGGGGGTGGGGCAGGGGAGAGGGAGAGGGCAGCAAGCCTGGAGCCTGCTTTTCTCTAATCTTCAGAAATCTGTCTGCCAAGCCTGAAATTTCACCTGCAGTCTAACCTCAACCCCAAAGGCTATATCCTGGTCCTTCTGCTCTGAAAGGTGAGCTGTTCCTCCAGCCCCTCCAAAGTGGACTTAATCCACACTTGAGTAGCTCGTGGGTCCCTCTTTATCAAAGTCAGGGTAACCAGGACACAGAATACCACACCAGCAAAACTTAGAAACACAAACATATTCTCTACTATGTGCCCAGAACCTAGTGCACGGGGTTTTTTTTGTAGGGATTTGGGGAAGAAATAGGGGCAAAAAACCTTTCATGAGGATTTAAGGGGCAGGGAAAAGGTGCGGTGGAGACTGGCACTGAGCCACAGCCACTTCCTGCGCACCTTCTCCACGGAGGTTCTCAGAGCAGTGGTGCTGCTGCTGCCGGGGGGAGTCCATCTCCTCTGTACCTCCGGAGAGTCCCCCTAGTGGGCAGCTGGGGCAGCACAGGGGCTGGAATTGGGCTTGCTTAGCCAGGGCCCAGTGCAGCTGAAACAGAAGACAGAAATGACAAGGCATCTCAATGACAGCCTCCTCCTGACACATGGGGCCTTTGAGCTCAGCCAGAATCAAATTACTACGTTTGATTATGTAAGCCAGCAACGAAACGTGGCAAAACTTGGTGGCATCTGAGAGAATAGGGAAAACCTGGACTGTCTTCTCAGGAGCATTTTCTCAATCCGTTGAGATCTTGCTTCCAGGCATGCCCTCAAAATGTAGGCCCAAATAAACTCATGAAATTCTTCTCTCAGTGTGGGTGTTCTTTCGGCGACATCCCCCATGGAGGGGTTAACTGGGGCATCAAGTTTCCCATTAGAGGTGGGGGCCTGCCTACTGTCTCTTCTCTGGGAGTGGGGCACTGAAGACATTCTGTCATCTTGTGATATTTAAAAATTTAAAGTAATACTCCCAGTCGCCCCAATTTAACTCAGATGTGACTACATCCATTTCTCTGCTGTATGACTTCCCACTAGTGTGTTTCACCTTCTCAGTAACTACATGGAGGGTCCTGACCACAGATTCTCGGCTTGTCCCCTCAGGGTACAGACGATACCTCCCCCACCCCCTCCCCACTCCCAAATGATTGTCCCTTTCAGACTTGCCCAACCCAGTGGTCGGCAAACTCATTAGTCAACAGAGCCAAATATCAACAGGACAATGACTGAAATTTCTTCTGAGAGCCAAATTTTTTAAACTTAAACTATATAGGTAGGGACATTGGTATTAACTTAACTAGGGTACTCCTAAACTGGCCTTTGCTAAAAAACGTCCTCAATCTGATTGAGGTACATTCGCTGAGGTCGACCCCTTCCAACTCCCCCATCCACACTCGTCTTGTATACTTGTTTCGTCTATCTCCTTTCGTTCATCCTCTCTATATGTCCAAACCATCTCGACATACCTAAAAAAATGTTTCATTTTATAATAATAAAGCCACCATCACAAAGTAATTAGAATCCTTAAATTGATGACAAAAATACCTGTAGGATTTGCAGCTGGTTGGAAAAATACAGGTAACTTTATGCTTCGAGTAGGTACTTTTGTCACCCGCGCGAGATTTGCGGACACGACTAGCACTAACCACTGCACATGAGACTGCTGACTGGCTGGCTCACTCAACTCGTGCATGAATCGCGCGCACCTCCCCCGCACTGCGTCTCCCATTGCCAGACCAACCGACACCCCCCACTTCTTCTAAGGCCACTTCTTCAAAATAGACTCGCCCAGGCAGAAAACCGACTTCTGTGCATGGGCCACAAAGTTTCAATCGCACTGTACGTGTGCGCCCGCACGTGGTATTTTGTGGAAGAGCCACACTCAAGGGGCCAAAGAGCCGCATGTAGCTCGCGAGCCCCGGTTTGCCGACCACTGGCCTAACCATACTTGCAGTGTTCACCTCTAATCCTCCTGGCCTCCCTTCAAGCCAAACAAGCCGCTGTCAACACTAGTTCCCTGGTTCCACGCTCCCTCTAGCGGCTTCACTCCGCTTTGCAGCGTTATTAAATCTCTAGACCCCACTCATCCTCCCTGATCCAGAAATGAGTAAATATTCTGTTCTTTTTTAGTTCCATCCTTAAAAGCATGTAGGTATAGAAACGTTTCCTTTCTCTCTTACTACATATCAAGCGTGGCCTCTAAGAACTCAACATTTCTCCCAAGAAATTGTCTTTTCCCCCAGCTCAATCCACAGAACTTCCTTTCTTTTTCATTCTCTCTTCTGCCGACTTTTCTCACTACAAAGCTAAGACTGATTCCCTGAATACATCTGGTTTCTAGAGACAGAGTGTTCCTGGCACTCGCTGTGTTCATGTCTCTTTTACCCTCCAAGTGTGTAATAATTCTACTGAGTGTTTCTCCACCGAGGCATTTCCTCCATATAAGGGGCCCTGGGCCTTTGGATCTGTGGGACATGCCGATCCCCACAGTGGGCATCTGAAATCAGGGCTTAATCAATGTACACCCCGGAGCCAACTTGAGGCTGTGTGGTAGGAAATCATTCTCGAAGCCTGTGCACAGGCCATAAATAGCCTCCCTCCATCGCTCCTTCTGCAGCCCTAACTGCCGTTCAAAGCAAAGGAGACAATCAGGACCCGGGACAGCCAACCTAGCATCGCTTACTAGAGATTAGCACAAGTAATCTGAATCCAAAATTGAGTATTCCTTTGCTCTGCACCCACGTGGAACTGAGGTAATTCCATTCCAGCTTCAACTACACATAGAAAGCTGCAGGTTAGAATTATTTTGCGAGCCTTTGCCTAATTAAATCCATGGTACTGGAGTCCCCACCAGGCCAGTCCTTGATTTTACCATCCAGGTTCCAGGGAAGCCCACCAGCATGTCATCCCTTCACCCCGCTGAATCCTGCCAATGGAGAAGGCACCCCAAACACAGACCAAAAGGAGACCCAAGTATTTGTTTTATTAATGACCAGATAAGTGCCAGACAACCCACAGCACTCTGACCTCACTGGCAAGCCGAACTGGAGAATGCAATCGGGACACGAGTCCAAAGAGAGCCTCCTCTGCTTCCTCCTGGCCTGAGCCGCTAAGCAGAGAGAAACAGCAGACATCCCCAAGGGAGCAGGGGCAGGAAGCCCTGTCCAAGTGTGTGCATTTGTATCAGGAGAGCACAGCATTCAAAGAGACAATGCTAGTCTGTTAAATTCCTGTTAATGCATTAACTCCACTCCTGCTGAAACGTGTCAGATAAATCCTGTCTCTCCAGCTGCCATAGCCGCTCAGCCTGCAGGAGGAAGCAGTCACCGGGAAAAGCGGGTCCTTTCATCTTGTATTTGTTTGCTAATTAGAATTTCTAATTACAGATTACCTCAAATGCACTGGCTTAAAGGAACACAAATGTATTTTTTTAATAATCCTGGAGGTCAGATGTCCAAGACGGGTCTCCCTAGGCTAAAATCAAGGTGTCAGCAAGGCCACAGTCCTCTTGGAGGCTCTACAGAGGATCCATTCCGTGCCCTTTCCAGTGTCTAGAGGCCGCCCGCATTCCCTGGCTCACGGCCCCATCCTCCCATTTTTACAGCTAGCAGCATCAAGCCAAGTTCTTCTCCCTTTGCCATCCATCCTGTTCTCTCTGCTGAATCCCTCCTTCATATTTAAGGACCCTTGGGATTATATTGGATACAGTTGGAAAATCTAAGATAATCTCCCTGTTTGAAAGCCAGTTGATTAGCAGCTATAATTCCATCTGCAGCCTTTGCCAGGTAGTAGAACATATTCACAGGTTCTAGAGATTAGAACATGGACATCTTTAGGGCCCATCATTCTGCTACCACACACCTCCTGCTCCCATGGAATCAGCCACCACCCACCCCCCTCAGTCCTTGGTACCACAGGAATCAGTTGCCAAAGGCCCCAAACTAGGTACTGAGGCCTATACCCTGTCTCGATTGCTCTTAGAGGAAGGTGGGCAACCAAATCCCTCTTGTCACTCCTGTTCTGTCCACCACCACCACCACCCCATCATCACCAGGACCAAGCCAAAGCCTCCAGGACTCTGTTAACCAAACTCCCATCTTGATGCAGCTCTGTCCATCGCCCCCCCCCCCGCCCAACCCAGTCCTCTGCCCAGCCTCATGCTCCCAAGCCCTGTTCTTGTGCCCTCGAGAATTCCCAGTCTGTGTCTTGCTTTGAATGTTCTCTCTATTGCCTATTCCTAAAAGACATTTTAAAATATCCTAAGAATTCCACAGCCTCTATGAGGCTCTCAAATGGAAGCTGCTTTCTTTGCGTAGCTGACTCCCTTTCCTCCTTCAGGTCTCAGCTCAAAGGTCTCTTCCCAGAGAGACCTTCCTGGCCACCCCACCTGCCCTCCCACCAGTTACTTCTGTCACCTCACCCGTTTATTCCCTCATTGCACTCACCATGCTTTGAAATATCTTATTTATACACTTGTTTAGTGGTGTATATACTTTCTGCCTCACAAAATGCAAGCTCTGAGAAACCTGGGAACTTGTTGATCATTATTATTCACCATTTCTCTCTAGTACCTTGAACAGTAATTATTACGGAAACAGTTGGAGGTCAGTGAATAAATCTGAATTCATGAGTAAATTGAATGAATGAATGAATGAATGAATGAATGAATGAATGAATGAATGAAGAGTTGGTGAAATTAGCTACTCCTTTCCCAGGAAGGAGCAGGGAAGGGACAGAGAGAAACCAGAGGGTTTCACACTGACACTCTGGTGAAGAAGGAGCAGAGTCCTCTCCTCTAATGGAAAGGGGCACAGGGAAGGGGTGGCAGATGAGGGTCTCCCTCTCTCAAAGTGGTTGGGAAGAAAAGATTCTGGAAAGGACTGGAAAGTCTTTGCTCACAGTCCCAGTGCTCCCATCCCCAGCCTCTACAGATTTAGTGCCGAGGTGAGGAGAAGACCACACTCCCTGAGAACAAGGTGCAGTATCAGGGGCCCAGACCTTGCAGTGAGGAAGCCTGAGGTGACGTCTTAGGGAAGGGCTTCTCTAACCATGGATGGATAGGAGGACCCCAAAATGGGGACTTTCTTTTATTGGGCGTGAGGGAAGGGTCTTAAAGAAGAATATCCCTCACCAATCCCTAGATTCCTACCCAGGATATGCAGTTATATCACGTGGAGGCAGGAGGAGGGACAGGACAAGCCCCACAGAGCCTCCTCACCCGAGGAGACCAGATGGCTAAAGCCTCGGTGATTAGCCCTAGACCAGAAGAGACGCTGATTCTTTCTACTACCAGTTCCATCTTCCCTGTCCCAGGGGTCCTTCTTCTCCAAGGGAATCGCAAAAGCGTCCATTCATAGACTCTACTGCACAGTTTCAGAGCCATGCAAAGAATCCCAGTGAACTCAGTTAGGAAGGTCCAGCTTTGGGTCCAATGCAGGACCCCCCAGATAGCTTCTTGAGTACCTCCAGTGACAGGATCTCCTTACACACAGTGCCGCCTCTTCCAGGCTTGGGTGGCTCTCATTGGAAGAGTATTCTTCCTCCCAGCAGCCTGTCTCTGTCCCCCTTGCACTTGCGTCACTCATTCAGCCTGATGGAGCAGAACAGATAAGTTGGTGGTTTCCATGTGACAACCTTGGAAACATCTGAAGGCAATTATCATTCTAATAATAAATGGTACCATCTCACGAATGCTTACCAGGCCCTGCACTAAGCGTTTAGGGACACAACATCCCTAGCATGGCGGCATTATTATTCCCATTCTGTAGATTAGGAAACAAGCAGGGGAAGTAAAGCAATCAGCCCAGGCTCACTCGGGTATCGGAAGAATCAGGATTCATTCCAAGGCCAGTCTGACTCCTGGCCCTCACCTCCCCTGTTATGCCAAGATCTCCCCAACCCTGACTGAGTCTTGTTTAATCCTGGCTAAACAACATCAAAGCCTTCAAGCATTTCTTCCCTGAGAAGCACAAGGCTCCCCTCGCCTCACTTTCTCAGAGAACCTCTAAATTCAGTAAAATCCTTGCAGTCATCTAGCCTGAGACCCTCTTCCTGGAAACTGGGAAATTGAAAAGGAAGCTTTGCTTCTGCTAATAGCAGACAATAGTCCTCCCAACGTTCCCCTACTAGGCCCCCAATCTCCCCTAACAACCCACCACTTTCCACTACCCTCCACCTTCCTTGTCATCTGGCAACTCTCTTACCCCCCAGGATTTGTCAATCTACCCTCCCTTAGTCTCATTCCTCTTCTCCCCCAAAATCCTACTCATCCTTAAGAAAACTAACTCCAATTCTCCATCCTCCATGAAGCCTTCTCCAGCTCCTGCTCCATACTCAGTGCTCCCTTATTTTTTTTCTTCAGCTTTAAGATATAATTAGCATATAACATTGTATACGTTTAAGGTGTGCAACATAATGATTGGATATATGTATATATTGCGAAATAATTACCACAATTAGTTTAGTTAGCCTATGCATCACCTCACATAGTTACAAATGTGTGTGTGATGAGAAAATTTAAGATCAACTCTCTTAGAAACTTTCAAATGCACAAATAATATTGTTGACTATAGTCACCATGCTGCACGTTATTATAACTGCAAGTCTGCACCTTTTGAACACCGTCACCCATTCACCCGCCGTCACCCTCCGCCCCTGGCAACCACCCGCCTCCTCTCTGTTTCTAGTACAAAGGGTTCGGTACAAAGCCCGTAGTTCTGCCTCTGCAACAGCTGTTGCTATTTTGCATTCATTGTTTCTGTTCACAGACCTTCCTCCCTGGCTGGGCTTGTCCAGGGCAAAAAGTGTAGCTTTCATTTCCAGGCCCATTACAATGTAGGTGCTTAGTAAATGGCTGTTGCTGTCGATGCAGACTGACTTTTTTGATACTGCGACTGGAAGAACAGTGGCTTGAAAGTCAGAAAGCACGATCAACATTAGGGAGCCAGGAGCTATATCGGGAGAGCTAAGGCCCTCCTCATGGCCCAGCACCTGGACAACACCTGGTGTCTGGGAGTTGAATAAAATAATCTAGTTCCAATGAGTTCAAGGAAGGAAAGAGTTTGAAGCAGGATCTGCTGCCCTCTGGTGGCCATTAGAGAAGTCGACCATATGGATTTAGATGCCCCTCTCCTGGCACATTAACTGTCCCAGATTCTTACATAGCAGAATCCTAAAATTAGATTTAAACTACGCACCAAGGCAAAATCAATGAAATTTCAAAGTAAGGTGCCAAATCATCCTCTGAAGAATTTCAAAGAAAATATTAAGAATTAGTTCCTGACCCCCTCAGCCTGGTTGAAGATATAAAATGGCATCATAGTGTGGAATGAAGAGAAGATTTTGTGAGGAGGAAATGCATGGACAAAGCTGTGTAGTGAGCCCCATCCCCTCTATAGCAAACCTTCTGGATGCTTGGCCCCGAGAGCTGAATATGTAATCCTTAGAGCTAGTGGCAGAGTGTCCTGGAGCCTGGCAGAGCTAGTGGAGCCTGGGTGCCACCCATATATTTAGACAGAGAGAGAAGGGCCAAGGAAGGGCTGTGTGGGCAGGCCGGCAGAGCCAGTGGTCTGGAATGCCCTGGGCTGCCAAAGCTTGCCTGGCAACTGAAGAACTGGCTGTTTTGGGGAGAGAAGCAGGTGTATCCCCATGCATCTATCTTGGGTGCTGTCCAATAGGGCTACCTCAAGGGACTAAGGGATCCCAGCAGCTTAGGGAGGAGGCTCAAGTTTCTGGGATAAAATAAATGCAGGTGAATGGGACTCTGAGAGGCCAGGAAAGTGCCCTTGAGAATAGTCACCAGAGGACATCAGAGAGGAAGGGACGAGGACACAACCAGCTGATGGAGCAGGAGGCTGAGTCACAGCTGATGTAAAAACTCGCCTACCCCTTCCTATCTGCTCTGCACCACCCAACCTCCTCACCAACACACCTCACCCAGAAGCAGCATCTAAAGAGAGTGAGAGTGGGTGAAGGGCAGGGCTAGGGAGAGGGAGGAAGGAGATCGTGACAGATAGAACAGAAGCCAGCCACTCACCCCTTTCCACAGCTCCAGCTGCAGCAGGAACCCATAAGCTGCAAAGAGTGACATTAAATAGTTAAGGTTTTGATTCATATATTGGCCTGGTCATTCTAATTTCTGAATTGAGCTGGTCTCACCTGAGAGTGAGCAGAATAGTTAAAGGTTTTCCTGAATTTTCACCCAGAAGCAAGGGAAATAATTACTTCTGCCCACTGACCCCATAAAGGATAAAGGATCATCTCATGACACCATACTCATCATGTAATCCAAATGCAACTTTATTTTTTTCATTATATGGCAAGTCATGGTTGTCATATAGCATGTAATATATATTATACAATATATAACATATATGATAACTAGAGGCCCGGTGCACAAAATTCATGCACTGGGGGGGGGGCGTCCCCCAGCCTGGCCTGTGCCCTCTCACAGTGCAGGAGCACCACGATCAATCGCCCCAAAGAGGTAGGCCCTGCCCACCCATCCAGGGCTCCTCGATGGATTGCCCCAAAGAGGTAGGCGGGAGCCGGGGGTCCCACCTCCACACCACGTGGGGCCGCGGGACCCCCCCAGGCCTCACTGGACAGCAAGCCACCGGGCCCCACCTCCCACGCATGCAGCATCAAGTCCCTGTCCACCCTCGCCGCCTGCTGCACACACAGCCTCCTGGTGATGGATTGTGGGATTGTGACCGCATGAGGGCATCAAAGGCGTGAGGGGTGACAACCACCTAGGCTATTATTAGTATAGATATGTATGATCCTTACTAATAAAAGGCTAAGTAGTCATCACGCCCTCACGTGTGATGCCCTCACGCTATCACAAGATGGCTGCGCACAGCAGGTGCGTGCAGGTGGGCGGGGCTGGAGCCTGTCTGGGAGTCCAGTCTCCTCCCAGCTCCACGCATGGCCAGGCCTGGGGGTCCCGTGGCTCCATGTGGTGCAAAGGAGGCAGGTCCGGCAGGTCCCCGTGTGGCATGGAGGCCTGGGGGTCCATAGCTCAGGCCTACCTCTTTGGGGCAATCCATGGAGGAGCCCTGGATGGGTGGGTGGGGCCTACCTCTTTGGGGTGATCGATCGCGGGGCTCCCGCACTGTGACAGGGCACAGGCCAGGCTGGGGGACCCGCACCCCCACACCCGTGCATGAATTTCATGCACTCGGCCACTAGTATATAATATAATGCAGGTTATACTTTCCCCTCCAACCGGTCTAAATTACAGGGACCTGGATTTTCCCTTCCAAGTTCCCTCAGCCTTCTTTTCTCCAATCAAGAACACCCAACTCCTGTTACTTCATCTCTTTGTCATCAGTAGCCTCCTTTTATAGGCCTCTTGAGACCCACTCCAACCACTCCCAGGGGTCCTGAGCACTTCCTCCAGTTTTGGGGAGGGGGAGACACAGGCCTCTGGCCTCCAGTGCTAGCCTCAGCTTCCAACAGTCCTCACGGCCCCTTGGGCACTCTCACCACCTGTAGCGGGTTCAGTGGGCTCTCCAAGAAATTCATGTCCACCCAGGACCTCAAAACATGGCCTTATTTGGAAAGAGGGTCTTTGACAATGTAATTAATTAAGGATCTTGAGCTGAAATTATCCTGGACTTAGGGTGGGCCCTAAATCCCATGACTGATGTCTTCACAAGAAGAGGAGAGGACACACAGGGGAAGAAGGCCAGGTGGAGACAGAAGCAGAGATTGGAGTTTTGCTGCCACAAACCGAAGAACACCTGGGGCCCCCAGGGGCTGAGAGAGGCAAGGAAGAGTTCTTCCCTGGAGCCTTCAGAGGGAGCGCAGCCCTGCTGACACCTTAATTGCAGGCTCCTAGCCTCCAGAACTGCGAGAGAATAAATCCTGTTGTTTTAAACCACCCAGTTCATGATACTTTGTTATAGCAGCCCTGGGAAACTAGTACAGCATCTCACCCCGGTCCTTCCAGCCCCAGCAGCAATCAATGGCGGATCCCTGGCAGGAGGAATGCTACGGCTTGGGCTGGGGCCCAGTAGCCTCTGCCAAGCCTAGGAGGAGTGGGGGAGGAGATGGGCTGTAACTTTCAAATGACCCCCTCTCCACCCACACTCCCCTGCTGAGCAGCCTGGGGAGAAAACCTGGCATCAGCTCCCCCAGCCGCCTACCATCGATAGCACGTCCTGCACCCAGGGGGCCCTGCCCTCCAACTCCCTATGGCCTACCCTCGTCCTGTCCTGTGGCTGGGGAATTTTCCATCCCACCCCCAAGTCAAAGTCATTAGATTTAATCATTAACAGGGCGGGTGTTAATTAGCAGGGCAGGGTGATCATCCATGCTGCTGAGGACACAGCTGGACATCAAGAACAGCTGCTCAAACAAGGGTGGGAGGAGCTGAATCTGGCTGGAAAGAGGCAGGAGTGTCTGCCCCCAACTCTGGAAGCTTGGAAATCCCCATTTCTTCATCCCGGATTGTTCCAGAGTCAAAAGAAACATTTGCTAAGATGAATTCCTCCCTATTCGTGTCTATTTCTCGAGTGTTTAATGGGTGCCAGGCACTGAGCTAGGTTCTTTATGGACATTCCCTCCTTCCACCCCTCACTACAGTAACAGACAGGCCTGTTATTTACAAGTGAGGAAACTGAGGCTCAGAGGGGTTAAGTGACTTGCCCAAGATCACAGAGCTACTAAGTGGCAGAGCTGGGATTTGAACCCAAGCAGACTGTTCCAGAGCCTAGGGCACCACGCTGGAAGGAGCTGGCGGGCGAGGGAGTTTGCATCCGAGCAGTCAGAGGTCATGCTGACCTTCCCCCTTCCTTGATGTGCCTCATTCTTATACTTCCACTTTTTAAATAATTTATAATGGCTTAGTCATCAATTATAATTACTTAGTCATCCTGTTCCACACTGACCCCTGCTAGTCTGTCAGATGCTAGTGGACAGAGACTGTGCCTGTTTTGTGCTCCACTGATCCCCGGTGCTTAGCATAACGCCTGGCGCATGTGACTACCCAATAAGCACTGGTTGGAAGAATAAATTCAACCTCTTAGGAAGCTCGGGGTGGAAGGGACTAGCTAGAGGCCAGCTGGGGAGTGGTCTGCTAGAGTGGTGATGGTCGTAGGGTTAAAAATGCATCTCAAGAGGTCCTCTGGTCCATGCCCCTGCTTCAGTTCAGCCACTGCCCTGCCATAGCCACCAAATCTGGTGGGAAAGTGTTAACATGGGTTCTAGTCCTTGGGAGAGCTGCTTTCTCCCTCTTGGCCTCAGTTTCCCCTCTCAAGCTGGAGAAATTGGATTGGTTGATTTTTAAGTCTTTTCCACCTCTACCAGTTTGTGGTTCAAAAAGAGGCAAAGCACTTTGGAGATGAGCATCTCCTCTGTTTGAATCACCAGCGCTGGACCCATTCCCAAGAGTGCCAGCTGCAGGAGGGTGCACACCCAAGCCTGGCAGGATTCGACGATGGGCTTCTTATCAGGCAAACCAGGACTTTCTAGGACAGTCAGAGGAGGCTGGGCCTTCCAAGCCAGCCCCTGAGAGGCCACTCATCTAGGCTAATGGTGCTGCTGGGGCCCACAAGAAGCTCTGGACACTTTGGCACAGAGGCCTTCTAGGTGGGCCTTGGGGTCCCCGGGGACACGGAGCATCCCTTCAGGGTGCCCACACCCCTGCCTCAGATCAGGTTCCGCTCCCACCTGGCCTCCTGCCTTCACGACATGGCCCCGAAAGACTCTCACTCATTTCCAGAAGAGCCAAGCCACCCAAAGGACAGACATGCGCTCCCCATGAGGACTCACAGCATATGCCACAGGCTCTGAGATGATTCCAAGAGTTTCCAGAAATGCTGGAGAAACAGCAGCAAATTGGCAGGAGCATATGGTCCCCAGGGGGACCGCTTGGACGGGCTCCTGCTCCTTTGGGTGGATGAAACCCGTCAGTAGCCTCCCCTCGTCGGAGCTGTGCAGGTGGAAAGTGTGTGCATCTTGTATTCAACATGCAGGAGTGCACCCCTGCCCCTGAGCCAGGCAGGCAGAAATGCAAAGGTGGAGGTGAGGGCCCAGACTCCTGGGGTCTCATCCTGGCTCTGAGACTTCCTACCTATGAGACTGGAGCTCCCCACTCAGAATGCAAATTATTAGAACAGGAAGAAACCCGTGCAGTCCTCTGGCTCCCACTTTTTACAAGAGAGGAAACGGAGACCTGTGTGTGTGTGTGTGTGTGTGTGTGTGTGTGTGTGTGTGTGTGTTGGGGGTGGGAGGGAGTGACCACCCCAGAGTGGCCGGACAGTTGGTAGCAGAGGGAGAAATTGAACTCTGACCTCCCAAATACCAATCCAGGCGGCCCATCCAGTATGACCTTTCTCCAGTACTCTGCCCTTGAAAAGCAAAATAAAGATCATACTACCTGCCCTCCCTCCTGGTGGGTTGTGAGGATTAGTGATAATGCATGAGAAGGCTGCGGGGGTGGGGAGGATAGATAAATAAAAGCAGAAAGTGCTGAGAGCAACAGGAGCAGCCTATTAACCCAGGGTCCAGCTCCGAGGGTAGGGGCAGGTGGGAGCTGTTAAATGATTGCACCATTGAGTCACATCCCTGTAACCTTGAATATTTCATGGATCCAGAAGTGTACCATACAGAACAGCTACTGCTCCCCCGGCAGGGGCTGTGGCTGCAGCAGGGACATGAACGCTTGCACACGCAAGCACACCTTGCACAGGCCCGTGCAAGCTGCGGGAAGGGGTTGGGAAAGGCGGGCTCCAACTCTTACTCATTCCAGGAAGGGCTCCAGGAGCAGGCATGGTGTGCTCTGCAACTCCCCGCCCTGTGGGAGAGCAACCCACACCTTTTCCACCCACAAGCCCAACAGACACTCACTCAGCTCTTAGCATAAAAAAGTCAAAACGACATACTCACACCTTCACAGACAGACCCATGGCAGCTCATGTGGAGACTCCAGCACCAAAGGTTGCAAGCCAGTCACATGCCATCTCCCCGCTACCCATAAACGTTTTACCACCCACCCCCAGCCTCCTCCAGAAGCCAGTACCAAGAGCTGTCTCTCCTCCCTCTCCCTGCTCTCTCCTCCTCCGCTTCCACCCCAGCACCAGCTGCTCCGGGGACCCCTCTTTCCACGCAGTCCTCCATCAGCCATCTCTCCAAAGCCTGAGCTCTCTGGGCCCCTCTCCTGACCTACAGCTTTTGGAGAAGAGAGCTTAAGACTCTGGAGCTTGAGAAAGCAACATGAAGAATGTTATGAGACTTTGGGAGGAATTTCCATGGCCAGGCCGAATGTGAGAGGAAGAAGGGACTCTGAAAGAGGCCTAGGCAAACTGGATGACTGGGGTGGGAGTGGAAGGTCTTATGAGAGCCTGGCAAGGTCTCTCTCCTAACTCCGCTACCCTTCTAAGAGATAACAAGACAAGAAAAACAGCAGCTATTAATTTGTTGAGGGCTCCATGTGCCAGATACCTTACCTCATAGGATACTCAACCCTAACAGGTAGGGACTCTTCTGCCCATTGCACAAATGAGGAAATCGAGGCCCCAGAGATAAGGGTGTGGGAATTCAAGTTCCAGGATCCTGATGGAAGGGGTAGGGAATAGACCAGTTATTTATTAAAGGACTAGAGGCCTGGTGCATGAAAATTCGTGCACTCAGCAGTGATGGAGGGGTGGTCCCTCAGCCCGGTCTGTGCCCTCTTGCCGTCCAGGAGTACTCAGGGGATGTCTGACTGATGGCTTAGGCCCCCTCCCTGTGGGGAACTGGCCTAAGCTGCAGTCTGGTCTCCTTCTGTGGTAGGCTACCAGTGGGTGATCTGGGGACAGCACCGGCCAGCCCCAGCCCCCATTGCCCCTCCGCCGCTGCTGGTCACCACCACATCCCCCCCCCCCCCGCCATCCCCTCCCTCTGCCCACTGGCACTGCCTGCTCACCGGCCCTGCCCCCCCACAGACAGGATGTTCCACCGTTTGGTTGATTTGCATATTACACTTTTATTATATAGGATACTTTGGACCCTGCTCTGTGCATGTGTGCTTAGGAGGTGCGTGAGTGCAAAGGAGGTCAGAGCGAGCACCTGTATCTCCCATTCCATCTTTCTCTTGGCTTCTTGCCTCACACCCCCTCCCTCTGCTGTCACTTCTAGGGAGTGGGTAGCAATTGACCAGAAGAGGGGCTGAGGACTCCAATCAGCAGTTTCCCAGGCCGGCCCTGCTACATCAAAGGGAGAGCAAGGGAGCTGGGTGTAGGGGGTCCTGGAGTCCAAACGACTGCAAAACAGAGCTAGTTACAGCAAAAGGAGGTCTGGCTGGCCCACTGTGCCCCTATAACCCCAGCACTGCCCTGAGAAAACTGAGCTGGGCCTGGCATGTGTGAAGTGATATGGCTGGGGGTGGAGGGGTACAGAGGAGGTTATTTTGGGAGGTAACATGGGAAGGAACCATGTGAAATCCAGGCCAAAGAAGGGCTGCCTGGGAGAAGAGGCAACTGAGGGTTACAGCTGACCCTTTACAGGAGAGGCTGACCATGGGGTCCCCAGAGAAGCAGGCATGGATTGCATGGGACTTTCCAGTTGCTCAGTTTAAAGCGAAAGAAACAGATCTCTGGCCCTGGTCCCTACTGGGACCTTCCCTCAGAATTCCCTGTCCCTTGTCCTCTCCACCCCAGTCCTTCTCCTCCCCCCTCCCCTCCCCCCCCCAGAATGTCCAGCCCTCCCCTCCCCAGTGCCCTGGCACCTCTCCTCTATCTATCCAGTGGCCCCCAGACCTGGCATAGTGCCCACAGCTCCTATGAATATTCTATCTCCTTTACTCTCTAGTATTGATTGACATCCTGGTCCTACATCAAACTAGTAAGTTCTTCACATAGTCTAACCCCCATCCCTTCAGTTACAGCAGATTATTTCATATTCTGCCAATAATGAAAGTGGAAACCCAGGCCATCTGTAAGCAAGCCACCCCACCAAGGAGTTTCCCTCTCCACTCTCCACCATCCTCCTCTTGCAGGCCTTTCGCCTGCTTTTCCATCCCCATAATTTAGCAAGCAGAAACAGAAATCTGTTTCACAAGCACTCTTGGCTCACCACCCCCGTTACTCCTTCTGCTGAGTCCCAGATGGTCCTCTCTCCCTGGGCCCTGCACCCACTGCCATCAGCACTTGGAGAAGAAGCTCTGGTCTCTGGAGACCCTCTAAGGGTTCAGTCCCCCTCCCTGCCACCCAGGGAGCACAGGACCTGTGCCCAGACCCACACCTCCGCTCCAAGTTTCCACCTGCGCCCTAATGTCTTCTCTCAGGGGAAAGTCCTTCTCCACGTCTGGCCTTAATCCTTCCTGAGGCATACCCAAATCCCCTTTCCTGCTTTAGGAGACAACCCTCTTTCTCATGAAAGGAAATGAAATCTTTCCCTTTGCTGCCTCCTGTCTGGTGCAGGCCCCTCCACCATCCCAGTCCTAAACCCTGCCCGGCTTGGAGAAGTTCTCCGCAGCTGCTCACCACACACCTCCCTGCCCAGAACTCCAGGGACACATGCGCCTGGGCTGTCCACCAGGACTGGCGCTGGCCACACCCCGCTCTCCAGCCCTCGGGGTGGGGACCCCCGCCGCCAGCGGCGCAGCCACGAAGGGGTTAAGGCTAAGGGCCGGGGGAGGGAGGGGGCTGTGAGGGGCAGCTGCAGAGCCAATAGGCGGCTGCAGAGTCCGCGAGGCCTTGAGCTGGAAGCGTGGAGCCAGGAGCCAGGAGCCGGGAGCTGAGCGCGCAGGGCTGGGGCGGGGCCTGAGCTGAGCTGGGCGGAGAGGAAGCGCGCCCGCCACAGCCCCGAGTCCCGCCGCCTTCCCCGCCGCCGCGCGGGCCAGCGGCCACCGCCCAACCATGGAACCGGACAACAGCCCTCGGAAGATCCAGTTCACGGTCCCGCTGCTGGAGCCGCACCTTGACCCCAAGGCAGCGGAGCAGGTGCGGGGCAGGGCAGGGCGGCAGGGGACTCGCCCAGCCAAGGACCAGGGACCCCAGGACTGTCTGATCCGAGATCCCTGCCTGGTCCTCCCCAAGCAGTGCACCTCTAAGGGCGGATGCGCTCAGTTTGGGGGCCTACCACCCCCTCCCCCACCATGGGAGCCACACGTCCCTATCCTTGCTTCTTGGAGACGGACAGAAGGACGAGCGCCTCCCCTGGAAGCTCGTCTCCACCAGAGTCGCTCTCTGCCTCCCCAGCCACGGGGGAGGGTGCTGCCTGAGGACAGGACCCCTCTGGCCTTGGGCCTTCGCCAGTCTGGGGTCCTCCACCCAGCCAACCCCGCGGGTTTCTGAGCTCTGCGGGGGCTCCGTGCGGAAGGGTCCCCGCAGCGGCTGGGGAGGGGTCCGGGGAGAGGGGAGGTAATGGAGGGAGCCCGGTGCTGTAGGTGTAGGAGTGGAAAGAAGAGCAATAGCCCGCCCAGTGCTCTCCTAACTAGGACCGCGCCTACTGGATCCCAGAGAGTGAGAACGCGAAGGGCTGGGGAACACTGAGAGGGCTGGGCTTTGGGGAGAGGGGTGGTCCCGTCTGCAGGCTGAGGCTCCCCTGGCTGCAAGTCCGGACACGTGGGTCCTATTTTCCCAACTACTGCCCTTTGGAGCGGGGAATGGGGGGTGGCGTGGAGAGTACGGCACTGGGAAGCCACAGGCAGGGGCTTTCGAGGAACCGGGGTTCAAGTTGAGCGACAGGCAAGGGAGAAGCACTGTGCTGGCCTTTGCTCGAGGGCTGGGAGTCCAGAGCCCGGCCCAGCCTCCTGGCCTGGCCTATTTTTAGCTCTGAGCAGCCTGGCAGAGGCAGCAGCAGCCTATGAGAGTGTGTGAGCAAGCGTGTGTCTCAGGGACAGTGAGCGTGAGTGGAGAGGGTGACCACCCGTGGTCCATACTACAGCCTGTTTGCCAGATAATTGTTCATTTCTCCATCTCCTTTGTGTCCTCTGTCCATTTGCCTGGGCATTGCTCTTCCTAAAGAATATCCATTCCCACAAGGTTAGTTCCCTACTTCCCCCAACTGGCTGCCAGGCCCTGCTGGCCTCCCCACCTGAAAAAACACTGGCCTCTCAGGAGGGGCTGACAGAGTGTTCCTTCTGTTGATCCGACTGGTTGGTAGAACAAGGTCTGGATGGGAAGGAGAAGGGAAGGTACACACTCTCTCCCTATAACTTCAGCTTCCCAAGTGTGGGTAGGGGTTAGGTCCCTGGGTCCCCATCCTCTCTCTGGCCTGGGGGAGCCGCATCTCCAGATCTCTGAGGTGGAACGGTAGAGGGAGGGACTGTGGGGAGACCGCCAAGCTCCTGAGGATGAGGAGGGTGGAGAGCCAGGAGCATGGGGAGTGTTCGCTGGGGTCAGGAGAGAGGCTATGGTGCCTGCAGGCAGGGGACTCGCACAGATAACCTCAGAGCCAGGAAGAAAGGGCCCACGACTGTGGAACATGGGGGTTAGGGGTGAGGTTTCCAGCAGATATGCCTTCCATTGGCACAAACAGGTATCACTACGTGACACCTGCCTCAGTGTGGTATCAGAGGAGGCAGGTGCAGTGTGTGTTGGGCGTTGAGGGGGAGGCCAGCTGGTTCGGGGGTGTAGGGGCAGAGGAGAAGGGTAAGGCCGTGCTAAGGAGCCAGAGGGAAAACGAGAGCTGGGCCTTGAGCCTGCTTTTCTCTAATCTTCAGAAATCTGTCTGCCAAGCCTGAAATTTTACCTGCAGTCTAACCCCAACCCCTCCTGCTGTGTTATCCACGTGTGCAGGCAAAGCGCTCCAGGTTTGGCAGGAGCTCCTATCCCAGACTGACAAGGGAAGGCAAAAAATTCTCCGAAGATCTGCATTAGGGAGCACAGGACAGCAGGGAGGGTGGGGGTGCCCACAACTACCAGGTCGTTGGTGTGACAGGTTTGAAGATAAATCAGAGGCAAAGGCACCAAGTGTCCTTGAGAGCTGAGATTTGGAATGCGTGGAAGAAAGAAAAGAGCATAGTTCAGGTGTCTGGGAGCTGCTTCGGGAAGTCTGACTTTGTTCCCTCACCATTCTCAAGGACACTGAGTGCTTAGAAATCTTGTCCAAGGCAAGGAAATTGGGTAAGGAAGGGATCACAGAACCCTGCTGCCTTTCAAAGTCTCCCTCTCAGGTTCCCAACTCCCACTAATCCGCACCCTCCCTCTCCCTGTCTCTCACAGCCAGCCCCTCCCGCAGAGCAAGAGAGAACTGGAGAGGAGTCCCCTCCTAGGAGAAGGACGGCCCCCACCCACATACAGGAAGCACACATGCCTGCCTGCTGGCACCCTGCACATTTGCACCAGGAATAGCTAGAGATGGACTCAGCTAATGTTTGTGCAGTGCACGCATATATGCGGCGCGCACATACGTGGGACTGGTAGTGCCAGGGACCTTGAAATGTCACCAGATCAGAGGCCACTGGATTATCCTGAGAAACACTGCCCTACTTCAACATACCCCCATTCTGTGCATCCCATTTCTTCTTTGGGGAGAGTCTGCCTCTCAGACTGACACTGCCCCTCTTGCTGTGGCGATACCCATTTTGGGGGCATAGAGACGGGCAGGCATCTTACCACCTTCACCCCAAATGGGAATAATACTAAATGGACACACAAAGATGGGGATTTGATCATTCAGTGTCCTCACCCTACTCTTCTTATCTCTGAATAATTTTAGCCCCTCTCCCAGTCCCATTAACCTTCCCTCCTTTCTGCTGTCCTGGAGGGAACTATAGGGACTCCAATCCCACCTTTACCCTCGCTTCCAAGCCCCTAAACCAGGGGTGGGCAAACTTTTTGACTCGAGGGCCACAATGGGTTCTTAAACTGGACCGGAGGGCCGGAATAAAAGCATGGATGGAGTGTTTGTGTGAACTGATATAAATTCAAAGTAAACATCATTACATAAAAGGATACAGTCTTTTTTTTTTAGTTTTATTCATTTCAAACGGGCCGGATCCGGCCCGTGGGCCGTAGTTTGCCCACGGCTGCCCTAAACCCTCCAAAGAAACAGAAAAAAACTACATGTCCCAAGAGTCCTTGAACCAACTTCAACAACAATCAACTTTATTGGCAGCATGACAAAAGAACAGCAACGGGAAAAGGGGTCCGAAGCCCAGCAATCAGCTCTTATATGTTAACTAGAGGCCCAGTGCATGAAATTCGTGCACAGGGGGTGGGGGTCCCTCAGCCCAGCCTGCACCCTCTCCAATCTGGGACCCCTCGGGGGATGTCTGACTGCCAGTTTAGGCCCAATCCCACACCCCTCTCACAATCCAGGACTTCTGTCTCCCAACCATTCGCCTGCCTGCCTGCCTGATTGCCCCTAACCGCTTCTGCCTGCCAGCCTGATCACCCCCTAACTGCTCCCCTGCCAGCCCAATTGCCCCCAACTGCCCTCCTCTGCCAGCCCGGTCACCCCTAACTGCCCTCCCCTGAAGGCCTGGTTGCTCCCAACTGCCCTCCCCTGCCGGCCTGATCACCCCCAGCTGCCCTCCCCTCCTGGCCTGATCACCCCTAACCGCCTCTGCCTCGGCCCCGCCACCCTGGCTTTGTCTGGAAGTACGTCCAGGTGGTCTCCCAGAAGGTCTCCCGGTCTAATTAGCGTATTACCCTTTTATTAGTATAGATTTCTTAGAATGGGACCTGAAGCTCAGGATAAGACTTTTCAGCTGCCCAGGGTCCTGCCTAGGACTGCTCATTTATATTTACCATGATAAGGATTTTCACAGACATATTTCCTGACAAACCAGAAAGGCAATGTGTCCAAGGATAGGGAAAACATTAGGAAGTGAGGAGCACAGGCCAGGGAAATGCACATTCAGACCTGCCTGTTCTGTGCTGTCCCCCCCAGGCAGAGTGGGGATTGAGGGGTGTTCTCTACAGGTGCTGATCCACAAAGGGTCAATGTCTGCTTGGGGGGTGGGCTGGGAGACTGAGGGAAGAGCCTTGCACCTCCTGGGTTATTTCTGACCATTGATCCAGGATGGACGGAAAGACAGTGGGCCAGAGATCGATGTACTAGAGCAGATATAACTGCTGAGATGGATAGCTAGGGCCAGGACTGGGGGAGGGGGGATTCAGATACAGAAAAGGGGTAGGGGATGCAGAAAGGGGGGTGGTCTTTTGGGTCCCCAACAGAGAGGGATGAGCACAGGAAAGTCCACCCTGAGACAATGGGTTCTGTGTAACAGTATTTTTTGAGGTGTGCTAACTGGCTGACCTGGATTACATTGCTGAGTGAGTGGTACTGGGTGGGGCTTTGATGCCTCCACATGTACTTGACCTCTTCCTTCAGATTCGGAGGCGTCGGCCCACCCCTGCTACACTCGTGCTGACCAGTGACCAGTCATCCCCAGGTAACCCCAGGAATGGGTCGCTAAAGGGAGTGGGGGCTGCTGAAGACAGCTGGGTCCGGTGAGTGCTAGATAGAAGGGTAGGTCTGAGAAGTCAGAGATCTCCTCAATCCTGGAGGCAGAAAAGTGATGGCTGGATTAGCAGGAGGATTTCCTTTGCTCTGGGAAGATGGAGCAATGCTAGGAAGGGGAGAGAGACCACCTGGTTCCTAAGCCCTCGGGAATTGGGTGGTCAACTGAGTGCTGGTTGCTTCGCAACAGCCTTCCAGGTTTCTCCAGCAACTGAGATGCTGCTGCCCCCACCCCCAGAGGCTATGACAGCTGTGCGGGGGAGGGACCGCCTCCATCAGCTATCTTCACAGCCCCCAGAGGGGAAAGGGAAAGTTAGAAAAAGCTCAGGGAGCAGCTGGCATTCTGGTCACCAGTGTCCCCATCAAGGTCTGGGGAGAGAGCAAGGTCTCAGGGAATGTCATGGGGAGCTTGACAGGAGAGTGGAAGAGAGGCGGTCATGCTTATAAGCTAGCCAGGAATTCAGGATGCCTGAGTCTCCCCTGGCCTCCAACTAGTGAGAATGATTGCACCTTCCTGGCCCCTGCACAGGATCAATTTGCTATTCTTTTTCCAATGTTCCCTCGTATGCAGCAAAGGGACCACAATCCTGGAACCTCCAGGTCTGATGCAAGGATGTAGACACAGATAAACCCATAGGGTCAAGGACAGGATTAGATGCAGGGGTAAAGCCAGCAGCAGAGCAGGAGGAAGCTGGAAGGAGAAGGCCAGGGGCAGCCTCCAGGGCTAACTGCCTAGGGGCAGATGTGAGGGACACATCAGGAAGGAGGTGACTGCACAGGCTCTTACCCTTGGAAGTCAGCTCCGAGGGACCCTCTGACCTCCCATCCTCATCACTTTCTCCTTTTCCTGTTCCCCTCAGAGATAGATGAAGACCGGGTCCCCAACCCCCTTCTCAAGGTGAGCTGGCCCCTCCCACTCAGCCCAGCCCAGGGAACCCACAGACTCATTAAGGGATTATTCCTCAGAACACTCCATCTGCAGAAACATTGAGTTCCTCATCCCTGTACCCCCCAAATGTGCATGCACACACACATCCCAACATGCCCCCCACACAGTCTCCTTGCTCGCCATTGTGGGGGCTGGAGAAGCAGGAATTTTCTTTCTCCACTTTCTGAAGTCCACACCTACCCCCAATTGCAATCCAAAAGCATGACAAGGCAGAGGAGGCAGGTGAGAGAGCCGGCACCCACTGTGTTCTGTCCTTCACAGTCCACTTTGGCCATGTCTCCACGGCAACGGAAGAAGGTGACGAGGACCACACCTACAATGAAAGGTTTGGAAGATCCTTCCCATCTCTTTTTTTTTCCCCCATCACCATTTATCCCACATATATCCTCTTTCACCTCTGTCCACCCCCAATTCCTCCCATCTCTTTCTTCCCCTCTGTGCCTGAGATTGTGCAGTTGACCTAATGCCCCTTTGGAAAGAATCCTTGAGAAGTCATTAAGTCTGTATTATAGTGGGGTTGTTGCTAGACAAATTGGATTTATCTTCCAGCTCTGTTTCCCAACTAGCTGAGTGGCCTTCTTAACCTACTGAGCCCCAAATACAACCTCACTACAGCAGTTAAGCTAAATAAAATATGTGAACTCACCCTGTATAGGGTGTAACACATAGAAGTTACTCAAATTTTTTTTCAATTATAGTAGACATTCAGTATTATTTTATACTAGAGGCCTTGTGCACAAAAATTTGTGCACTCAGGAGGGTCCCTCAGCCCAGCCTGTGCCCTCTCACAGCCTGGGACCCCTCAGGGGATGACCACCTGCTGGCTTAGGCCCGCTCCCCGGGGGATTGGGCCTAAGATGGCAGTCGGACATCCCTCTGGCAGCCCAGGAGCCCTCAGGGGATGTCCATTTGCCAGCGGGGACCAGGCCTAGCTGAAGTCGGACATCCTTAGCGCTACTGAGGAGGCTGGAGAGGCTCCCACCACCACCACTGTACTGGCAGCCGTCAGCCTGGCTTGTGGCTGAGCAGAGCTCCTCCTGTGGGAGCACGCTGACCACCAAGGGGCAGCTCCTGCATTGAGTGTCTGCCCCCTGGTGGTCAGTGTGTGTCATAGTGACCAGTCATTCCCAGTCATTCTGTTGTAAGGGTCAATTTGCATATTACCCTTTTATTATATAGGATAGAGGCCTGGCGCATGGGTGGGGGCCAGCTGGTTTGCCCTGAAGGGTGTCCCGGATCAGGGTGGGGGTCCCACTGGGGCTCCTGGCCAGCCTGGGTGAGGGGCTGAGGGTTGTTTGCAGACTGGTCACAGCCCCTTCGGGGTGGGTGTCCCTGCTGGGGTGCCTGGCCAGCCTGGGTGAGGGGCTGATGGCTTTTTGCAGGTTGGCCACACCCCCTTCAGGGTGGGGTTCCCCACTGGGGTGCCTGGCCAGCCTGGATGAGGGGCTGATGGCTGTTTGCAGGCTGGCCACAGCCCCCAGCCACCCAAGCTCCCAGTGGAGGCTGACTGGAAGCAGGTATCTGGGAATTATTTAGCTTCTATAATGGAAACTTTGTTGCCTTTTGCAGAGGCCAGAGCAGGTGGGAAGCTTGGCTTCCTCCATCACCAGGGCAACCAAGCCTCCTGCTTGCTCCAGCTCCGTGGCTGCTGGCCGCCATCTTGGTTGGGTTAATTTGCATATAGTCACCCTGATAGGCTGGTGGGCGTGGCTTGAGCATAGCGAAGGTACAGTCAATGAGCATCTTTGTCTTTTATTAGTGTAGATTGGTTTCAGGTATACAACATAGCGGTTAAACATTTATATAATTTACGAAGTTATCCCCCTGATAATTTCAGTACCCACCTGGCACCATGCATAGTTATTAAAATATTATTGACTATTTCCTATGCTGTATTTTACATCTCCATGACTATTTTGTAACTATCAATTTTTACTTCTTTATCACTTCACCTTTTTCACCTGGCCACCCCCAAATGCCCTCCCATTTGGCAACCATCACTTTATTCTCTGTATCCATGAGTCTGTTTCTGTTTTGTTTGTTCATTTATTTCTTTCAATTCCATATGTAAATGAAATCATATGATATTTGTCTTTATGTGACTTATTTCATTTAGTATAATATCCTTTAGGTCCACCCATGTTGTCACAAATGGTAAAATGTCATTCTTTTTTATGGCCAAGTAATGTTCCATTGTGTATTTGTACCACATCTTTACCTAATCATCTATTGCTGGGCACTTAAATTGCTTCTATATCTTGGCTATCCTATCTAATAAAAGGGTAATATGCAAATTAACCCTAATGGCAGTCAGTGCATTTCCACAGGGGGAGCACTGCTCAGCCAGAAGCCGGCTCACGGGAGCCTCTCCCACCTCCGCAGCAGCACTAAGGATGTCCCCATAGGGAGCAGGCCTAAGCCATCTGTCAGACATCCCCCAAGGGCTCCTGGGCTGCCAGAGGGATGTCTGACTGCCAGCTTAGATCCATCCCCTGGGGAGCAGGCCTAAACCAGCAGGTGGACATCCCCCAAGGGGTCCCAGGCTTCCAGAGGGATGTCTGACTGCCAGCTTAGATCCATCCCCTGGGGAGCAGTCCTAAGCTGGTAGGTGGACATCCCCAAGGGGCCCCAGACTGCAAGAGGGCACAGGCCGGGCTGAGGAACCTCCCCCCACCCCCCGCAGCAAGTGCACAAATTTTCATGCACCAAGCCTCTAGTTGTGCAATGAACAAAGGGGTGCCTATATCTTTCAAATTAGTGTTTTAGATTCCTTCAGATAGGTACCCAAATAAAATCTCTGGGTTGTAAGACAGTTTCACATTTAAGTTTTTGAGGACCCTTCATACTGTTTTCCATGGTGGCTGCACTAATCTACATTCCCACCAACAGTGCAAGAGGGTTCTCTTTTCTCCACATCCTCACCAACACTCATTGTTGGTTGATTTATTGATGGTAACTATTCTGACAGGTGTGAGGTGATATTTCATTGAGATTTAATTTGCATTTTTCTGATTATTAGTGACATTGAGCATCTTCTCATGTATCTATTTGCCATCTGTATGTCCTCTTTGAAGAAATCTCTATCACGTCCTCTGCCCATTTTTTAACTGGATTGTTTGGGGGTTGTTTTTGGTGTTGAGTTGTATGAGTTCTTTGTAAATTTTGGATAGTAACCCCTTATCGGATGTATCATTGGTAAATATCTTCTTGCATTCAGCAGGTTGTCTTTTCATTTTGTTGATAGTTTCCTTTGCTGTGCCAAAACTTTTTAGTTTGTAGTACCATTTGTTTGTTTTCTCTTTTGTTTCTCTTGCCTACGTAGATATATCAGAAAAATATATATATTACTAAGAGCGTTAAGAGAGTTTATACCTATGTTTTCTTCTAGTTTTATGGTTTTGGGTCTTACATTTAAATCTTTGATCTATTTTGAGTATATTATTTTATATGGTGTAAGAAGGTGATCTAGTTTTGTGGGGGGGAGGTTGTTTTTTGGGAGGGGGGGGTGCATGTATCTGTCCAGTTTTCCCAGCATCATTTATTGAATAGACTAATTTTACCCCACTGTGTGTTCTTGCCCCCTTTGTCATATATTTATTGACCATATAGGTGTGAGTTTATTTCTGGCCTCTCTATTCTTTTCCATTGGTCTGTGTGTCTCTTTTTATGCTGTTTTGATTTCAAATATTTTTTACTCTAACTGGAGTCTTTTCTCCTGCCCCCAAGGGAGACCAAGTATCCCAACAAGTTAGAGCCTTTTGTTCTTAAAGGCTCTTCCCTACACCTTTCTTATTGTTTAAAAAAAATGTTTTTATTGATTTGAAAGAGAGAGGAAGGGATAGGGAGAAAGAGAGAGAGAAATATCAATGTAAGAAAGAAACATCGATCAGTTGCCTCCCATACGCACCCGACTGGAGATCAAACTTGCAACCAGGGTATGTGCACTGACTGACCTGGAATTGAACCAGCAGCCTTTCGGAACAATGCTCAACCAACTGAGCCACGCCAGCCAGGGCACCTTTCTTACCTTTGAAGGAAATATGTCTTATTGTCTAGCTTTAGTCTCTCCTAATTGCCTAGCGAATGTCCCTCCTTGTTCAGATCTCAGGGCATGGCAGTGTGTGATGGCCATTTAGCGTGGTTGTTGAAGTTGAGTGTTCACAGAGGAGGCTCTGGGCAGTCATGTCCAATGTTCCCTCCCTTTCTCTTCATCCCCAGAGCTTCAGATGATGGTTGAGCATCACCTGGGGCAACAGCAGCAGGGAGAGGAGCCTGAGGGAGCCGCTGAGAGCAAAGAGACCCAAGAGACCTGCCCACCTGAGACCACAGACACAGAAGCGGAGTCAAGACTGGGCGCCTCTGGGAAAGCACAAAGTACGTTCCAGCCCAGGAGGAGGCAGCCTATTGTGGGGAAGAGTCTAGTAATAGCCAGAAACTATCTTCAGAATATGGATGTATCTGCACGTATTGCATGTATTTGCATCTCTTCACCTTTCCTTACCAAATGACCCAACCCTTCCCAACTGGCCATCAGAGCTCCCTGTTGTGGCTGAATGTGGGGAGCCCATCATAATGGGCACAGCATTCATAGGCTAGAGTCCCAGCTCTGCCTCTTTCCCAGCCCAGAGGCCTCGAGCAACTTAACCTCAGTCTATAAAATGATAATGATGGTGCCTGATTCACTGGTAGTTTGTGAAAATTAAATGAACCTGCCCAGTAACTGGCACATACAAAGCATACAATAAGTGGAAACTGCTGGAGGTACTGTAAATACATGTCCATAGTCCCTTATCCCAATTAGTCCAGAAGTCAGAATTTTTCCAATTTTATGAAGGTGATACAGTATGTATACTGTATATTATATAGTATCCCCAGGAGAGCACCCTGTAATCAGACACATTAATATTTCTACAGTGAAATGAACTGTCCCACTAAGTGGGATAAGTAGACTATAAATAGCTTCATATTTAGCCACACATTGAGATTATACCCAAACTTGAAAACTTTTTTGGAGGGTTTTTTTCTTTATGGAAAAAAAAAATTAAACATAGTGATTCTATAGTAGGAATTGTAATCAGAGAAAACCCTGTTGGTCTTGGCCGATTGCCCCAGCTTGGTCTTGGCTCCTCTCGGGTCATTAGAGTATGGGGTGGGGTGAGCATTGCCCTCTCTACCAGCCCTCATGCATACCACCTCTCCTCCCACCCTCATTTTCCCTCCTTAGAGCTTGCAGAATCCACTCCAAAAACTCAGGAGCGGGGCAGTGAGAAACCCAGCACAGAAGAACTCTCACCCCATATACCACCACTGGGTTCCCAGGGAGCCCACTCGGTAAGCTGCCAAGGCTGGGCTGTGGGTCTATAGGAGAGCAACTGTGTGGAGAAAGGCGAGGGCTAAGATCTGGACTCAGGGAAGGGGGAACAGAGCACCAGCTTCAGTCCCTGAAGAGCTAGTCTCTATGGCAAGAGAATGGACAAATGAGAAGCTGCAGCAGCAGGGACTGAGGTTAGACTCTGAGTTAGGACTTCCAGCTCCTGGAATAGGTGATGGAAATAGGCCATGGGTTTTCTGATAAAGGGCATTTGGAACCCTCAGCTGTCCAGGCTGATGAGCAGTGGACCTGCCTGGAGTGGAGACATTGATGGAATAACCTCGTGAGCTTCGATGTTACAGTCCTCCCTCCCCTGCATAGACTGGACAAGGTGTCAGACATCAGAAATTAGATACTTGACTAACGGGATGGTTGGGCAGACCAGCTCGGGAGGGGGCCTCTCACTCACCCTGTCTTTCTGCCCCCTTTCCCCACAGCAGGTCTGAGGATGAAGGAGAGATCCTGGGTACAAGCCTGCAGCTGGGAGTGCGTGGACACTGGATTTGTTTCTTATTTCTTCACTTTGGGGAAAATCTCATTTTTAAAAAGTGATAAATTTGGTGTTAGATCCTTGGTATTTTCCTTCTTTCCCGACTTGGAGAATCTTTTCCCTCTCCCCTCTTGTCCTGCCCTCTCTACCCTGTGCCCAGTTGCCAATGGGCAGGAGACTTGAGAAGGGGGTTCTTCTCCATCCCTGCCTTACTTGCTGCGGGAAGAGGAATGGGGGTCAGATAGATGGGAGGACTAAATTCCAGGGTACCAAGAGGAAAGAATGACCCCAGGTTCTCTTTTCCTATTGAAGAAGGGATATCGCCACCTGGCGGGCTTCCCTGCAGCTGCGAGCCTTGGAGCTCTAAGGCCAGCCTAACTGTGACTTTGTGTGAGCATCATCTGCTGGGCAAAATAGGGAACTGCAGGCTGGTGCGGCCCATGGGAAAGAGTGGGTGGTGTGTTGTATGGATGCCTCCTCGCCTGCCCTCCAAGCTTCGGTGATTCCCAAACTTCCACCTGTGAGGAGACCACCACTCCTATTCCAACCTATTAGCAAAGATGTATTGAGAATACAGTGCCTATTATCTAAGAGGCCCTTGCTGGGAATTGGGAAGGTCACTCTTCCCCTTGTCCTAGACACCAAGAGGCGGGGGTAAAAGACAAAAGCTGAGCACAGGCGAGGAAACTTCCTCAGACCCCAAAGCCAGGCCTCTCCTGCCCACTGCTTTTGATTTTTCCAGGTAGTGGAGGGGAGAAGGAAGGAAGGAAGGAAGGAAGGAAGGAAGGAAGGAAGGAAGGAAGGAAGGAAGGGAGGGAGGGAGGGAGGGAGGGAGGGAAGAAAGATTTGTCCCTCCTTAAGGAGCACTTTAATGGAGAGAAAAAGAACAGATGTGTAAGGTCCCACTTCTGCCCTCCCTACTGTGTGCCCTCAGGCAACATCTCACCTTTCTGGGCCTCACCTTGCCCACTATATATACATATCAGATAGAACACCGACTGCACCGGATTTTATCAAGCTTAAAGGGACAGTGTATCTGAAGATGCATGGTGGACTTCCACCCAGTGAACACCAAACACAGCCAAGCCTGGTCTCCCTTCTTTATTGATCTCTGACTATATAGCAGGGTTCTGGGAGACCAAGGGCAGGGATGAGTCACATGCGTCTCTGCCCTACTCAGGGTGGGGTAGGGGGGACAGGTGGCAGGGTGGCAGGTCTAAGAGACCATGGATATGGACTTCACATGAACAGGGCCCACTGTACAGATGCATGATTGATATTTACGAGAAAGAAGGAGGGCAGTCACCTGGACTTGGGCCTTTCCTGGGACAAGGTGGGGTGAGAGGAACCTGAGGAGAGGAAGGGACAGGGGGCCTGTGGGGGCTCTCTTCAGAGGGCATTACAGCAGTACCCTGAGCCCCTCCCCATCTGCCTTCCTCCCACCCCTCCCCACTGTCACAGAGGAGGGGCCTCTTGGTGCCCGCAGCAGGGCCAGTGCTGGAATGGAGAAGGGGAGGGATCCTCTGGTGGTAACACAGTATTACTGCATTATACCTCACCCCCATCATGCACCCTTGACCCTGACCCAGCTGGTCTCTCCTGCCTGTGCTCGTAAGATGCATCCTGAAGGTGCTTTGTTGAGGAGATTCAAAGCACGTTACAGACATTGGTCGGATGGGAGCCTCCAGCCCAGGTGAGAGGAAGGAGGCAAAGGGCTCAGGCATCAGCCAGGACAGGTTCCATGTCCCAGACCCAGACCAGTCCCAAGCTCTTAAGGACCCCAGGAAAGACCTGCTCTCAGCCCCTGGTCCTCTTCTCCAGTTGCCATGACAGAATGGGAGGAGGGAAGAAGTTAGGGGTCGAGCTGGGGATGGGGCTGAAGCAGTGCAGGTCTGGGGTAAAGAGGCTGCCCACCCCCCATTCCCAGGCCCTAAAATGATACCATGCCCTGAAGGAGCCCACTCCCCTCCCCACGCATCGGGCTCTGAAACCCCCCAGCTTTCTCTCCTGTTCCAGCCCCTCCCAGGGGAGGAAAAGGGGACCCAGACCTTCCAGCTAAGATCTGGGGTGGGGGGCTGAGGGAACCCCCAAAATTTATTGCTTAGAAACTTGGAGGCAAAAAGGATGGGGGAGGGTCCAGGGGGCTGGCATCTCTGACCCTCCCCCCAAACCCTGGGGAGCCTGCAGGAAGCTCCCCTTCCCCAGACATCCATCTGGCCACGGGGGAGTCCAGAGGCAGGGGGATGGGCACAGTGACCACTGGGAGCCTGAAGTTCCCCAGTCTTGCTGCCGGGAGATTAAAGTATGGCCCAATGGGTGTCAGGTGGGGAGGGGCCCTTCCCCAACCCCACATTCTCTGGCATTTGGCCTTCGGGTGGGTTGTCTCTTCCTCGACCTTCATGCTCCCTTGGAGCAGATGGGGGAGCTAGTCCCGATGGATGGTGCTGATGACATCTAACACTGGGACTCAATGAGGACCTGGGGAAAGAGGGGGAAGTTTCAGTGCTCGGACCTTTGCCTTTATTTCCAGCCTGACTTACCTTCTCCAAGTCCCGCCCAGATCCCCACTCGGTCCCACAAATAATTGTGCAAAAGAATGCCTTGCAGAAGGTTACTCAGCCAAGGTGTGAGCAAGAGCTGCAATCGAAGTCGTGCCAACCAACCTCATAGAGCCTGTGCCCCGGCTGGTTCCTTTTCCCGAGCCCTCACAAAGGTGCTACCTGGATGGCTCTAGCCTTGCTCAGGCCCCACCCTTCTCTGAAGAGCTACCTGCTTTCCAAATGCAGGGACTGGGACAGAGAGCTGGGAGGATTTCCTGGCTTCACATTCACGCCCTGACTCAGTTCTATGTGCTCACTTCCACCACTCTCCTGCCTGGAAGGAGGGAGGGAGAACCTCACATCCATTGAACCCCAGAGATAACTCTTCAAAATGCCGTGTTGGACACCCAGCTCTCTCTACTCCCCGCCCAACATCAAGACCCTCCCACTCCACCATGACAGGCTCACCTGGGCCGGCCCCAGGCTAGTCCAGATTCCCATTCTGATTGTGTTCATCTTGGGCAGGGGAGGGCGGGGCCTCCTCCTCACAGGGGGACAGCTCGTCAATGGACATCTGGTTGGTGATGCCTGCAGAGGGGCATGAAGGAAGCTGAGGCCAGACCAAGAAGTAGTTTTCCCCAGAACCAAGGAGTATGTGGAGAAAAGTAAGAGATTCTCATGCATCCTCCTATCTTCAACCCCCGGCCACCTGTGGAGAGCCTCTCGGGCCTTCAGATTGCTAATCACAATCTCAACTCCCACATACAGGAAAGACTCCCAGCCGTGGCCACCAAGTGACCCTAATCTGCAGGAGCACCACTCACAGGCCGCAATGTGCACACGGCCCCTGGTTGTGGAATATGGTTGTCCCTGTTCTCTCTCCAGTTCTCATTCTAGAACAGTTCTGGCCAATCAGCTGGTCAGTCTTTCCTGTCATCTAACTGTAGTCTGATCAGCTCTATTCCCAACTCGGAGTCAACGGCTGCTCCAGGGGCTTGAGGGAAATGGACCTGCTACTACTCCGTTAGCCACCTCCTCCCACGGCTTCATGCCCACAATGGTACCCACCGCTTGCTGCCTGTTCCTTCCATTTCTGCTTGTTCTCCTGAATGTATTTGGTCCAGGTGGAGCGGAAGCTGATCACATCAGGGTTAGGGTCTCCTACTTCCACATCCAGAGAAGGCTGGCGCCACTGAAAGCTAGAAGCAGCCCCCCCCCAACCAACTTCAGAGGTGGGACCCAGCCCACTCCAGAACCACCTTCACAGCCCTCAGAGGGGAGGGGATGGAAGGCCAGCAGGAGGCTTAGGGAGCCTCCTTCTTCTCCTCTTCCCTCTGCTAGGTACCTTCCAAGTCCTTGTCCCCCTCCTCCCAGATTTCACCCCTCCCTCCCCACACCTTCCCTCTTACTAGAAGGAAAATAAAAACAAGATTGGCAGAACGGCAATAAACAGAGCTAATGGAAGAAACAAAAATATGGTGGAGGGAATACAGGTGCAAGCACATGCGTTTGGTCACAGGGCCCCATCCTTCCGCCCCTGTGTGTGACACACAGCACAGCAGCTCTCCTGTTTGGAGTAGCCTGCTTCTCCACCACCCCTTCCATGGCTGTACCTCCTCCCTGGGGGTCCGCCCTCTGTGAGTCTGACTCCCTTCTCCCAGAACCAGGAGGCCGGGCTACCCCAGTCATCCTCACCTGGGCTGGTTTTTAGACTTGGAGTCATCATCCACCAAGGGCTGGACACTCTTCTCAGCCACGTCGGTCAACACAGAGAATGTGGGCTCCACAATGAAGTCGATGAAACCTGCAGTGCAGAGGGGAACACCATGACGATGTCTTACCTGGAGGGCTGGGTAGTGGATGTGGCCAGCATGGCTGTGACCCTTGTCTGCATGTAAAACAGAGTAACCGATGGCTGAAAAGTTCCCAATGAAGGCAGCCTTTGGGATGATGCATTTGTGACCTCAGAGAACTCCTCCCCACCATTGCACGCCCCTGGCCTTCCACCCAGGACCCCATGCCCTAGCACAGCAGGCTTGCCTCTATGGGAAGAATGGCTTTGAGGTTGGGGACCTGGGGAAGTCCTGGCCCAGGCCCCACACAGCATTCTTTCCCCTTCACAGTCCTCTCCTCCCTGCGAGAAAGGATACTCACCAATCTGGGACTGTGCCACGAGAGTGGAAGTGCGATCACACAGCGGAGAGAAGGGCAGACCCAGCTCTGCCTCCTTGTCACCCTGGGGGAGAAGACAGGTGGGAAAGCTGGAGCGGGCACCTCAGACTACCAGACCCAGGGTGAAGCTGGGGTGGTAGGAGGTTGTTGTGGTAGAAAAGGAATGTTCCCCAGGCACTCAAAGTGGACTTGGAAGGTACCTAGCAGAGGGAAAAGGAGAAGAAGGAGGCTCCCTAAGCCTGCTGGTCTTCCATCCCCTCCACTCTGAGTGCCTGTGACCTGGAAATGAGTGATAGGCAAACGGGATGCACCTCTCATCAACCACTGTTCAGCTCTTAGGACGATGACAGTTTATCCCCCGGGTTTGGGGTCAGGTCAGGAGCTGCAGGTTGCTAAATGAAGGTCTGGAGTGGGAGTATGGAAAACCAAGCGAGAGAAGGCCCATGGGCAGGGGGTGGGCAAGGATGCCATGGTACCTGGCGGAAGAATTCCTCCATGAGAGCCTTGGTCCAGCGGCTGTGAACTGACCACTGCTTGGTCGGATGGCTGATGTCTGCAGCATGGAGCAGTAGAGACAGGGCCTTGGACTTGTCAATCCTGGTCAAGGCAGATGGCGAGAGAAGGGAGACTGGGCTTTTAGGAAAAGGAAATGTGGACCATTCCTAACTCCCCATCACATGCCCTCTCTCAGGTCCTCTCAGGTAACTTCAAACACTCTCTAAGGATACACACAAGCACAAGCGCAAGCGCACACACACACACACACACACACACACACACACAGCAAGCAGTCCAGGCTCTTAGAAGCAGAGGTCTGGGTTCAATCCTCACTACACCTATCACACACTAGCTGTGTGACACAGAGCAAGTTACTTAAATTTGCTGAATTTCATTTTCCTCAATCCTGAGTGGAAATAATAGTAGAATCTGCTACATAGAATTGTTCTGAGAATTAAATGGCATGCTATATAAAAGTATTTAGGAAAGTGTCTGGCACACAGTGAGTGCTCAGTAGATGTTATCTATAATTATTATTATTATAATTATTATTTTCTAACAATGATATGCTCTGACACAGCACATTCTCCCACACGTAGGCACACTAGCACACGCCTTCAGGACACACACATAGTCCGTTCTTACACACATTTAGCAACTCCCACACATTTAGATACTCCCACTTTTAAGCAACAGTGGATGTAATTATGGCCTTTATTCTGTGTTTTTGTCTTTTACCTCACATGACTCTCTCAGTAGCCTGCTTATAGTAGGAACTGGTGGCAAGCTGTTGAGGAGGGAGGCATATCATTTTCACATTTCACAGATAAGGGAATGAGTCCAGAAGGATTGAATGATTTTCCCAGCATTCCAGAGTAAGTCTGTCCTGAAGCTGAGATGATAATGCCCATCTCAGACTCCCAGCCCAAAGTGCTCTCCAGTATACCAGCTGCCTAGACTGTACCTAAACCCAGGGCCATGTGCACACACGTCTCACACACACACACACACACACACACACACACACACACACACAGATACACTCAGCTATCTGGAGCCAGGAGAGCTTCTACATCCAGGTAAAGACTTGGCACACCAATCACCCATGTGTATGCCCCCCGATTCACACACCCCTTGCTCTGGCCTAGCCCCAGCCACACCCCACCAGATGCCACCTCTCCAGCTGCTGCAAGGCTGTCTTCATGGACTTCACTTGCTGGAAATGGCAAGACATGTCTGTGGCCAAGACCATCTCGATGACCAGGGCCCGCAGCTCCCTGAATGGGCAGAACCAGAAGAGTGATTAGCCCCACAGCACTGGTGGCAGGAGATCCAGGTAGTAGAGAGAGGGGGTTGGGTGAGGGGGTCTTGTAGGGATGCCCACTCCTGGCTTCTGCTCACACAAACTCATCCTTGGTGAGGTTGATGAAAATGTTCATTTCGTCGTCCTGCATCATTCGGAAGACAGAGCTGATGTGGTGATTCTCCAGCACTGAGCGGTCATTGTACAGGATGGCACATTCTGACCTGCAAAGCCAAAGGTCATCATGGTCAGCCCCCTGTTAAATGGAAATTCTGGCAACCTCCCCACTTCCATTCGGCCCCTCCTGCCCTGCCACACCCTGCCCCTCACTTAGTCTGGATGTGGAAGCTGTTGGTAGTGCCTGTGTGCTCATAGTCATGGATGGCTGCTGCAAAGATGATGGCCAAGACTTCAATCTCTGACAGGCAGTGCTGGGAGAAAGAGACAGAGGATGGGAGGGGGCCAACCCTCTCTGAGTCACTGCCCCCAAATCTCCACATACAGGCTAGACCGCTCACACCACCCTTCCATTCTTCAAGGCCAGCTGTTGGGCTAATGCAGCCAGGTTTCTCAGCTCCTGGAATGACCAAAGACCCTCCTCCATTCCAACCTGCAACATTCCCACTGCATCCCAGCACACATCCTGTGAAATTATGGTGCACCCAGGAATTCTGTAGAGTAAGTCCAATCTGACTCTGAAAACTGTGATGCCAAAGGAGGAACCAAAGAGAGAAGGAGGGAAATGGGAGTATACACCCCAGTTATGCAGCCATAAAGCCCCCAGTCACAGCAGGGTGGTCTCCAGGGCACCTACCACCATCCCTGTGCGAAGCAAGAAGCAGTGGACTGTCTGAGTAACGTCAGCTGCGTGGATCTGGTTGTGGTAAGGGTTCTTGTATTTCCCATAGCCTGTCTCCAAAGCATCCAGGAAAGTCATCAAAAACACAGTGGGAATCTGCAGCAGGAGGGAGGAAATAGAGCTGCGTGGAGGATCTGCAGGAATGGCAGGAGGCCCAGGTCTGAGATCAGCAATGCCATTTTTCTGTAGAAGGCAGTGTGGCACAGGGAGAGCACTGGCTCAGCAGTCAGGTGAACCTAGGCTCACATCCTGGCTCTACTACCTGCTGGTTACGCGACCTTGGGCAAGTCGCATGCCTCTCTGTGCCTCAGAGACTTAATTGCGGAATGAAGATACCACCTCCCCCCTTGAATTTAATGAGATAAGTACAAGGCACTTAGGAAGTGCTCTCTAAAGAGTAACTACAAGTATTATTATTTCCCTGGAGATTTTTTTTTAAAGGAAAGACAGTTTCCCTCCTACCTTTCAACCACGCACCCCAACCCAATCCAATACCACGGATAAGGGCTCAGAAGCAGGGTAAACGATAAGAAGATGTAGAGAGGACCCTTCCAGCCAGATGTAGATTACCCGCTCCTCTGAAAGCCTCCCACGACCCAGACACACACAAGCTATTCAATTCTGTCTCGGTCCAGCATATGCCCTTGGGGTATGCCTGCCTCCTTCAAAGGCTCAAGGCTCCTAGAGGGCAGGGCTGGTGTCTGCACCTGTCCCTGGATCGCCTGAGGCAAGGAGGAGAGCAAGGTTCAGGACCTGAGGAAGCTTCTGTAGAGATGAGTGAAAGTGACTAGACACAGAGTACGTGTCACTCATCAATCAGACCCTAATGTCTCCCACCCCGACCCCTGGAGGGCTGTGTCCCAAATTTAGGGATTTTTAAAGGGCTGTTTCCATGACAACTGCCCTTACTGTTTCATTGCCATGGTGTCCCTGGAGAAAAGGGAAGGGAAAGAGGGAAGGGAAGGGAAGGGAAGAGAAGGGGGAGGGAGAGTGGGAGTGGGAGGGGAAGGGGGAGGAAAGAGAAGGAGAATGGGGAGGAGAGGGGAAGGGAAGGGGGAGGGGAGGGCTGGGTGTCCAGGAAGGGAATGTGGAGTTTGAGAAGGATAGCTCCAACTGGGGGATCTACCATGAGTGAACACTAAAGCAATAAGCACTCCCCTCTCTCAGGTTAGGACTGGGGTTGGGCCAATCCTAACCTGATGCAATTACTCTTAGGGTCCCCCCAAAACCAGTCCTTCCAGGTAAGGAAGCAGAGTTTAAAAGAAACTGGTGTCTGGAATATGCCCGAGAACCAGTTTGGAGAAACATGAGCTGGGAAAAGCCGGAGAAAAAGAGGACCCTGCTATTCTCTAGGCAGGATCAAAGGGAAGAAAAGAAAACTAAGAAGGACAGGCCTCAGGAAGGCACTGAACAAAGTCCCACCTGAGCACCTCGGGAAAGGCCTGGAAGCCCTCTTGGGAGCCCTTGGAAAGGCAGAGTGGGCGGAGGAAGGCAGACATGCACAGCGGCCCAGTGGTCCTTACGGTGAAATGGGGCACAGGGTGGCAGGATGACCTTTCAAAGTCCTCTGGAGGGGCCCTCACCACTCTCCTTTCACCCACTCCCACCCCGACATGGGCCCTCAGAACACATGGTTTCCTCTGCGCTAACATCTATTGCCTGCCCCCCCTAAGTCCCCACTGCGACTCTTCAACACCCCTCGCCCTCTACTGCCAACTGTGGTTTTCCACGTGGAAATGTTTTTTTCCAGCCTCTATTCCCAAAAGACATTCCCTCCTGGCACAGGATCTGGAGAGGACTTTAATCCTATATTCTTCTTGGCTGGCCAAGCTGAGGAGCAAATGGAGTTCACACACCCTCCCTCCCCTCACACAGTCCTACCCAGCACTGCCAAGAGCTGATCCTCTCCAGAAAATTCCTTGGACGGAGACTAGCACTAGGTGGGAGAGCCAGGTGGCTGTGGCCAATTTTATCCCCTCCCCCTGCCCCCAAGCACATGGAGAGACTCTAGTCCCAAAGGACTGACAGCATCTGGACTTTAGGCCTCTGGTGTCCACAGGCAGGAGGCAGGACAGCTGAAAGGAGGAGATGAACGGCAAACCAGCCTGGAGAGGTCAAGTTAGAGGGAAAGAAAGCAAAGGGGAGAGAACAGAATCCTGGGCTAGACAGTTACACACCTAGAATCTTAGCCTAGGGCACAAAATAAGGTCAGAGGCTGGGACTGCAGCAAGTGAAAGAAAGGCTGGACTGGAGTGGGCAGGAGGAGACTCCCCTGATGATGGGACTAAGTGAGAGATCCTATGGAATCTACTGGCTGGGAATCTTCTAGAACAGGAGTAATGGGCGTGGAGAATCATGCCCAAAGGCGGGAATAGGGTATGACCCAACCTTAAAGCGGCTGATGAGGTTATGCCGCGTCAGCAACTCAAATGCAATGGTCCTCAGAGCGTGGTCATCGGCTGCCCGGTTCAAGGAAAAGACATCAAAGCACCAGAGGTCCAGGTTCTGTGGAGAAGCAACAGACTAGGAGGGCGACGCCCAGGGGGGCTCCTAGCAGCAGCGGAGAGGACTTTCCCATGGTTACAGAGTCTTGGGAAGCAGTACACAAGGAGGTGGTGAAGCGGGCTTCTTCCTTCCTTCCCAGACATCGCTCCGTGTTACACGAAGAGGCAGGAGCTTGCCTCTGGAGTGGGCACATGTTGTTTTGAGGAACACGAGAACAATACTTAAAAGGGAAGGCAAAAAACACCCCCTAAACAGAGTCTGGAAGTCCCAACGACTATTTCCACCTCCTCACCCCGACTTTCTCCTCTTTCCCGGAAACCCAGGATCACCTTGAGACAGTTGAGGACCGCAGTGGAGTAGGAGGGGCCCACGGAGGTGTACGTTCTCCGGAACATCCTAGGGGAAAACAGTGGAAAGAGGCCCAGGTGTGAAGGTCTGTGGGGTGGGGTTTGATCAGTTGGACATGTGGGGCCAATGCCACTGGCGGGGCCTGGAGGACCAGGGTGGCTGGGGACGAGGGACGGGACTAGAGACAGAGGGAGGCCGAGGGCGGGCGAGCCTCACCGCTCCACGAAGATCCCAGCCTGCACGGCGTGCACGATGCTGCGGAACTTGGGCTTCTCCTCCGCTCGGCGGCCTTTGGCTCGGGTCTGCTGGGTGAAGGTGGAGGCCAGCCAGTCCCGCACCTCGGAAGGCACAGCGTCTGACCGCAGCTCCTGAAGCTCATCCTCTGTGTCCAAGATTTGCCTGAGGCACCAGAGGGCATCAAAGAGGAAAGACAAGAAGCGCCTCCACAACCCAGGGACCCTGGGCCCGGCCACACCACACCCTCAGCAACGCTCAGGCCAGCTCTCTCCCTTCTCCTGCTCTTCTCTCTGTGTCTTTTTCTTTCTGTTTCTCTATCTCATGTCCCCAGTCATAACACCGGTCACCGCGTGAGGTCGTGAGCATCCCAGCTCTGGAAGTGTCCAAGCAGACACTGGAATACCACCCGTCAGGGATGCTAGCGACCAGCAGCACTGTCCAGCAGGAATAAGATGCAAGCCACGCGTAAGTAACTTTAAGTTTTCCAGTCGCCACATTTCAAATGTAAAAAAAGAAAAACCATGAAATTCATTTTAATGATAAACTGTCTTTAACCTAATACACCCAAAATATTGTCATTTCAATGTGGAACCAATACAACATATACTGATGAGATATTTTATATTCTCTTTTCTAAGTCTTGAAAATCCAGCATGGATTTTACAAATACATACACGTCTCGGTTCACAGTTGCCATATTTCAAGTCTCAATGGCCACATGAGGCCAGTGGCTCCCACACTGGGCAGTGCAGGGCCTGAGGGATTCCACACCGGGAGGGAGGCTGGGGCCAGATGAGCTTTAAGGCAACAGTCTTCTCTCCTTCTTGACACCTGTTTGCCTCCATCTCTACAACTCTGTGTCTGTTTCTCTGCCTCTTTACCTTTGCAGTATTTCTACCTATTGCTCTTCCTCTCTGCCCATCTCACCCTTCCTTCCTACTCTGACCCCAGCACAGGTCTCTGTCCCCAGCTTCCTCTGGCCCCCAGGGTCTGGACTACTGTGTCTGTCTGGTATCTTCCTCCTCCGTGGGTAGGTCTCCCTGCCCAGCATCTCCACTGTCACCACTCTCACCGCGTCTCGTCTATGTAGACGGCCTCCAGCAGGGACGCTGTGTACTCCAGGTTTTTCTTCAGCTCCTCAATGTTGACCTCCCCGTTCTCCAGCTGCTTCACCATGTAGCGTAGCCTGGGAAGGGGCGGGGGACACAGACATCCTGCTTAGGCACTGCTACCTTGTCATGCGGGCAGGATACCTTTGGTCTTCCATAAATCATTGACCGTTCTAACAGTAAGACTAAGAGCAGCTAATGTTTTTCATCTCAGGCTACTGCCACTGACCATACTAAATGTATCTACACCCCCACCCCCACCCAGGTGTAATTCCAGGCTTTTCCTGACTCCATTGTCCCCATGAATCTCTACCTCTTAACACTCCCCTTTAATCAGTGATTCCTGAACATTCTTGTTCAGACTGCCGGGGCTCAGCAGAATTAGGCAGGTACAAGCCCCTGGGGGGAAGTTTTTGGGATGGTCTGTTTCATAGTCTGAATAACCAAGCGCTGAAACTGCTTATTTACCCCATGAGAGAGGGCTCTGGGATCAACAGAGAGCAAAAGAGGACCCAAGACTCTCTCACTGTGTCTCTAGGTCATGATGGGGAGGGAGGTACATGTCCATAGCCCCTCTGTCCCCGGCAGGATGGCAAAGACGCAGAACAAAGAGCAATCTGAGTGCTTTCTCCTGGCCTCACTCCATCCAGGCAGAGCTAATGGATTATGATTCCAGAATCCATCAACCAGGACAAAGCAGGATTAACCCCTGCCTGCCCGGGGCAGTACCAGAGAGAACCTCTGGCAACGGGTGACCCATCCCGTACCACAGCCCTGCAGCAGCTCCCCCAGAGCAAGAGTGGTGGACATGGGGCCAGGGGTCTCACTTACTGAATGTGTTGCCTGAAGGGACAATCCCCCACAGTTTGCACTCACGAATTCTGGGGGTTGGTGATTAACTGGGAGGCTTCTTAGAAGTCTGTTGAGTCCAGCCCAGGCAGTCACAAAGCAAACAATGCTTTCTGCCTTCATGGTGATGTTAAAAAAAAGCGATTAAACTTTCCCCTTTGCTCCTTCCTCCAGCCCTGCCCTGCCAGCCCCACCAAAATGGGGGTGAAATGGTGGCCACCACAATTCCCCACTGAGAGGGGGTTTAGAAACCCAAGGCCACCCTCTGAGTCAGGGAGCAGAAGAGAATGAGTCAGGGACCAGAGGCTGAAATTAGCATCAATTCCCAGGGACGCAGGGGGAGGAAGAACAATGGCATTCCTGAAGGAAAGCAGCTCTGGAATCCTAGGGTCTCATCAGCTCTGGAAGAGGGGTGCCCAAAACAGCCAGCCAGCCCCAGGAAGCATCACTGGCCAACTCTCACCTGGCTGAAGACCTGTCTGCACATGGGGCAGGAGGGAAAGCAGGGAGATGGGAGGTGACACGGCAGCCTCCTGGAGACGGAGGAGAGGGAGGCGCTGCTTCAAATCCCACCTCCAGCCTTTCTGCTGCACCCCCTCCATGTGCAAACAGTGGGTCACTGTTAGAGGCTGAGTTCAGTAAAGCTCAGACCCAGCTGGGAGTTCAGTAGATAGAAACAGAAAAGGCTTTCCAGCCAATGAGCTAGAAAGGGGGACCTGAGCCAGCATCTCCCAGAGTGCCCCCCAGCCATCGCAGAACAAAAAGGTACACTCTGCCTTTGGGGCCCAGGCTCAAGCCAGGCTTCCCTCTCCTGGTCAGTCAGTCCCTGTGGCCAGGGGCCCTCAAATCTGGGGACACACAACCTAGGAAGAAAGGCCTCTGGTCCCACCTCCCCCCAGATGCCTGTCCTAGCCCTAATTTTCCACATTGGTCAGCCCTTCTTACAACCAAACGCTCTGCCCCTAGAGGCCAACGCCCTCCGCCAAAGTTTTTTCCTCCACCCGCCTCTCAAAACACATCTCAGCGCAGACTCCCAAAGTGAACAGTCAAGCCCACAGGTGTTCATTTGCATGGATTCGCATAATCGCTAACAATGCTGCCAGCTCTACATTTTTAAAAGCGCTTTCTCCTACATTATCTCATTTTATCCTCACAATGGGAGTGGAGGGGGGTGGGGAGGCAGCAATCAAACCTGACTCTGAGCCCTTGGGCAAGTCACTAATTCTTAATTCTTAATCAGTATCTATTAAGATGTGGCCTGTAGACCACTGACATCAGAACCACCTGGGATACTTATGAAAATTTTAGATTCTAGGTCTCATTACACACCTATTGAACCAGAATAGCTGAGGGTATGGTTCAGGGATCTGCAGTTAGCAAACATTCTAGATGATTCTCATGCACACTCAAGTTTGAGAACTTTATTTTGGAACCTCAATTCCTTCACCTATAAAATAGTGAAGAGGATAATAAACCACTTGTGAAGGGCTGTTAATAAGAGGATTAAATGAAATAATGTATGCAAAAGGCCTGGCATATACTCCGGGTCTTTGTAAATGTGACTTGAATCGGAATTAACTGACCAGCATCAGGCTGTCCCTACCCAGCTCCTGGCTCACTCCCTTCAAATCCAGCAGCGCCTGACTTCTCTATCCCAAGTCCAGAAGAGAGTCTCGTTTGGATGGAGACTGGTACTTAGGAAGTCCCCTAACAGAGGAAATGGGAGAATGAAAATGGTCATGATCCTCCTTTACAAGTACAACCCTCATTTGAGCCTCACAGTCACCTGATGAGGGAGGTTGAGTGACTCGTTCAAGGTCATACAACTTGTCAATCTCAGTCAGGTCAGCAAGCCTACAACCCACACTATTGGAGCTTTAACGGTGCCCCAAACACCAGAAGTGTTGGGCAGAGGGAGCGCAATCTTGTAATTAGATTGGAGAGGCTGGAACTAATTCCATCACAGCTTCTTGAATCTTAGTCATCCATCCTTTTTTAATATATATATATTAAAATATATTATATCTAATATATAAAATAAAATATATATATTTTATTTCAGAGAGGAAGGGAGAGGGAAAGAGAGAGACATCAATGATGAGAGAGAATCATTGATCAGCTGCCTCCTGCATGCCCCACACTGGGAATTGAGCCCACAGCCCTGGCATGTGCCCCGACCAGGAATCAAACCATGATCTCCTGGTTCATAGGTCGACGCTCAACCGCTGAGCCACACCAGCTGGGCCAGCCATCCACCCTTCATGAAGTGTTAGTGTCCGGCAACCCCTAGCAGACTGTGAGTGTCTTGATGGCACTGACAGGGACTTGTTTATCCTGGCTGCTGTGTGCAGAGCACACAATACGTGCTCAGTAAACGTTCATTAAATAAATAAATGGGAAAGAAGGCTGATTCATTAGGTGAAGAGCTATCTGCCAGAACTCACAATTGTGCTCTCAGCCGGGTTTCTGTGTAATGGAGAGCCTGGGGAGAAGAGTGAGATCTTGGGCTGCCTTTCAACACACTCTCCCTCCAAGCTCCTCTTGCCTCCACCTCTGATCCCGTCCAGGAGTTCCTTAATTGCTCCTGTTGAAATCTGAACCCAACACAATCCAGACACCACCAGTGCAGACTCCCAAAGCGAGAGGGAAAGAAAGGTTAAAGGATATATTTGTCAAATGGGGAGTCCAAGAAGGGGAACCTGGACTCAGGCAGCTGGAAGGATCCAGGTGCTGAACTTCACCTTCCTGAAATTATAGAACCCCCACAGGGCACTTTCTGGCCTGGCAGGGGCCTCTCTGATTCTAAAATCCTTCAGAGTTAAGATCTCCCTTGACCCATCCAAAGTCCTCACCTCACCATTCTTCTGCAGGAAATCCTACTCCCACCCCTACATCAGTTTTACTCCCACCCCTCTGACTCAGTCCTCGGAGAATCTGTCAGGGATGGGTCCCTTTCCCTGCAAAACTGGATGCTCAACCCTGTCCAATCCTCATCCAAACCTAAGGAAAACTGGAAGCTTCCCCAACATTCCTTCCACCTCCACCCCTAACTCTGTTTCACCACCACCACTTCTTCTCCTTTACCTTCAGCCCCTGCACCATGGGAAAAGCCTCAGATCCTAACCCTTGGAAGGTCCCAGTGTCTTCCAGCTCTGGGTATCCAGCTGGAAAAGGTTCTAGGCAGTAATAATCCTTAAACCCCAAAAGAGCTCAGCTTCCTCAGCCCCCACCAGTTCTTTTCTTTGAATTACCATATGGCTGATGATCTGGCGATTTCCAAATATCCCTGCACTACTTCCAGAATCTACATTCCCCAAAAGATCACTGTAAATAGGGGGCTCAGCACAGGGCAGCCTTAAGCCCAGGGGCTGAGAGTTGTGAGAAGAATCCTATTTTCCTTTTGGGTTCTTAAGACCAGATGAAGAGATGTCAGAGGAATGTGAGGTCCTAAGGATGCTGGGGGTCAGGAAGCAGAGAAAGGAGGGAAAGTCTACTAAGACACCTGCAGTAGTCAAGAAGTGATAAAAAGGAAGGGGAGGTGGGTAAGGAAGAGTATGAGGTAAAGGGCAAGATGGATGGGGTAAAAGATGGAAGAGAAGTACACCCGCACACAACATATTCATTAAATAAATGTCAAGTCTTAATCCCTCCCCTCCACCAAATTACAACTGGTGGACCCACAGCAGCCTGCCATCCTCCTCCCCTCTCCCTTCCTCACCCCGGTGCCTATCGCCTACCGGAGGATGGGGCCCTGGAGGTGGCTCCTCTGCACAGGAACAGGATTTGCCATGGGAATCAAAGTCTCCTACTTCAGGGCATCAATATGCTGCCCCCAGAACTCTGGAGCCCCTGAGGGGAATGGCGCCCTCTTGGGCCCCTAACTTCCTCCTCCAGGTCTCCGCAGAATTGAGTGACTGACCAGAGAGAACTTGGGGGGTTGGGGGGGAACAGGAGGAGCCTGGCTGGAGGAAGAAGGCAGTGATGAGGCAGAGACCCAGCCCACAGCAACTGGGTGAGAGGCCACGGGAAAAGTTTCACATCTGAAAAGAACTGAAAACAAGAATCTGTTCTCAGAAAAATCCCAGAAAGGACAGAAATAGCACAGGCCAGGCCCTGCTCTGAGGAGGTGGGGCTCCTCTTTGAGGAGAAGGGGTTAGTAGGAGGCTTAAGGGTGAGGGACAGGGACCATCCTGAATCTGTCCTAAGAGGAAGTCTGTAGTAGGAGGGG